AGAGAGAGAGAGAGAGAGAGAGAGAGAGAGAGAGAGAGAGAGAGAGAGAGAGAGAGAGAGAATGAATGGCAGGCAGCAGGAGACCAGGAGTCTCTTCAGACAGTGACCTCCATCTCTAGACCACATTCCCCAGCACCCATGAGGAGTCTTGGACCAAAACAGAAGTCTGACTTTTATAACATAGTGAAAGGTTTCACATTACATGATTTAGTTTAGCATAACATACATGACAGGGAGCATGGTGGAGCCAGTTACATAAATTGTGAGTTTTTACTTAACAGCACAAAGTGCTTCTTAATTCTCTATCCAATGTAAGCCTGCAGGAATACATGGCCTGATTCAGGCTATGCAATCAGACTAAAGGTCCAGGTTTGAGTTCAAAAGCTGGCAGGGGCCCAAATGGAAAGCCCCATCTCAGAAATATTCATGGACCAGATGGAGAGAATGCAAATGCAAAATCCAAATCTCTCTCTCTCTCTCTCTCTCTCTCTCTCTCTCTCTCTCTCTCTCTCTCTCTCTCTCTCTCTCTCTGTATGTGTGTGAATTTCTTGAGTTTGAAAACACTGTGCAGACAAAACAAATCACACCAGTCCATTACTTCAGCTTGAGGGAGTTGGTAGTGTGCTTTTAAAAAAGCATGTCTCTGATACTTCAGCATGTTGAAGAGAAACTGGCAAAGTCCTCAGCAGTTTGAAACAATTTTGGGTAATTAGATTGTGAAGTGTTGACAGTTATCTAGATATAAATGATTTGGGCCACTGTCCTCAAAGTGCCAGTTGGTGGATGGAAGGAGGTGCCTTTGTAAGCTACACAGACTTTTATCCTATCGTCCACGTCATATTTCTCTTGTCTCTTCTCATTAAGTAAAATCATCTTTGCCTTGTCAACAAATAGGGACTCAATTATATTATGATTTATGGAACTAGACAAAATGTCTTAATCTCCATCATTTTAAAAGACTCTTTAAAGGACATCATGGGTGTAACCTAAAGTGTATGTATGTATGTGTTTATGTATGTATATGTATATATGTATGTGTATATGTCACAGCTGGCTGTGACAGCACTCCAGAGGCAGGAGAAGGAACAGTTCAAAGTGCAGTGGGATGCCTCTCAGAGATCCAAGGCCCGAATATGTAACTCAGAGGTAGAGTACCTGCTTAACATACATAAGGACTTGGGTTTTATACCCAGAACAGAGAAAAAACATTAAAGAGCACCCTAATGATTTTGACCAGATTGCACCAAATCTGCACTGTTACATAAAGGGAGGAAGCTGTGTGGCTGGAAACTATGTGGATCGAAGTTGGTCTTAGTCAAGTGAGTGCTCTAAATATCTAGTACAAAGGTGTTTATTTTACCAGTTGCATCACCCTACCACACATCTCTAAATGACAACAGAGGTAGCAGTTCTGTCTCAGCATGCCTTCGGGATAATCTTGACGTGAGAGGACTCAGCAGATTCTTGTCTTTAAGCATGGTAGCAGGAACTGGACAAAGATGACAGGGGGGCTGGATAGAGTAAGGAACCAAAAACTATGAGCTGTCAAGTTGTAGCACAAACTGCTTCTTAACTCTTCTAGAGAAAGCTTCAGGGAAGCGTGACCTGATCCCACAGCCCAAACCAGGCCTGAAGGTATAGGTCTATGTTTTAACTTGGTCAAGTGGATGGTGCAGTTATGTTTTGTGGCTGACTGGATTAACTATGGCGATGCATTATGCCTCCACACGAAACTTGTATCCTCAGATGAAGGCATTCTTGTACCCGAGTTCCTCATTCCTATACCCCAAGTTCCTGTTGATAATTCCAGGCACCAGAACGAATCACGAGATACACAACCAAACAGGGAGGGGGAGGGGACAAGGGGGTAGTGCACAGGCCCGTGTGAAAACAAGTTGAACAGAGAGGAGGGTGAAGTGAGCAGCCTGCTCTTAAAGGCTGCTAGCGCACGTGCACACAGGGGCTCAAGTAGCTTCATCATGCACGGAATATGAGACCACGCTGCACGTAGGTTGCATAGGTCTTAAAACCAGGCACTTTGCCTGAACACCAATGGTGCGTGCATGGCCCGTAAGTCCCGGAAGTGCTAAGGCTTGGGGTGGCTGAGCATTTTGCCTGAATGCTGCTGACAGCTGGTGGGAGCTCTGGATGTGATGGAAAATACCAAAGCCTGTGATGGATTTGGTTTTGTGACCAAAGTTTATGATATAACTGGGCATAGATCCAGATCAGGTCCATGATTTTCAGAGTGGCAGTTGTGGGCAGTACTGCAGAAAGGTTGTGGAGCCTGGTGTTTCCGGTGTCTGTCATGGAAAGGGGGTCCCGATTGAGATGAAAGGCAACAACAGAGTAAGCAGAACTAAAAGTCAAAAATGAAAATATCCTGGTAATATCTTTGAATGACTGGATCCAGACCTGGGAAAGAGACCATGCTATTGGATGCCTGGACCCAGACATGCCCGAGAAGGTATTATGTGGTTCTTTTCCTCCCATCCTAATTGGATGCCTTTCTAGGACCTCGACCCTTAGCTATGTCAGCTAGAGCAGAAACTAATCAATGGTAGCTAGATCTATGGAACTGGAAGTATTGACCTCACCAAGGAGAGGGAGGACAGCCTTTCCTGGGATGCTATTACTTCCTTCTCCAGATACAAGTGTTCTTAAAAAATGCTAGGGTATACTAAAAATAAAGTTAAAAATGAGACTTTATGGTGCAGTTTCTATGAGGTCAGCATCCATCATGGGGTGGGCCCTGCTTTTTGTGCAATCACCCACGCTTCTTTACGTAACCTATGACCCATGCTCAGAAAGAAAGCTCAATAAACTAATTTGTCTCACCACACTAGATTTTGGTGAAATCATGGACTTTGGTCTGTCATTGGAGCACACCCGGATGACTAGATATTCTCTGTGTCCCCCAGGAAAAGTGAATACAGCAGGCAAATGACCTGTCTAAATATTTAACTGAACCAAAAAACTGAACCTATGTTAAGCCATTTTCAAGTTCTAGTACTGGCAATAGACAGCGTCCTGGTAGTGATGTTGGCTGATATTGGGGTTCAGTGGACACCCATTGTGAGTGCCAGGGTCTTATGTGGTAGAACAAAGACGTGTAGACAGTGAGAAGCACAATGAAAGGATTTAATTACTGAGGTACTTCTAAGGGAGAATGTCTCGAGGTGACGGCAGAGCAGCCCACTCTGCACCAGACTGGCACATAAATGACCTTAGCAGAGGGTTTGGGGCTCATTTCCATAACACAGGTGTTGTGGGATGATCTTTTAGTACACTGTGAAGCTGTCTCTCTGTTTTGTCTCATCTGCCTGGGGCGCCTTCTAATTGGTTTAATAAGTAGCTGAATGGACAATAGCTAGGCAGCAGAGACTAGGAGGGACTTCCAGGGAAAGAGGGGAACTGGGGAAGACTCTGAGCTGTGCAGATTTTGTCAAGGAGACCCGAAGCAAGAGGGAGGCACAGTACTGAGGAGAGGTAAAGAGACAAGTGGCTCAATGCAGATTAAATAACTGGTAGTGACTCTTATCTTAAACCTCCATGGGGGGGGTGGGGGAGGAGGTGGGTGGGGGGTGGAGGGTGTGCATTTTAGAATTACAATGAGCCCTGAAGTGCCACTGAAAGGGAGCCAATTTAGTTGGGTTTGGGATGGGAAATCAGGTTTTTCTTGGTCAACTTACTTTTTCAGATGGTAATTTTCTAGGACTTTTCACAAGACCTGGGCCTCACTCACGCTATTTTCTTAGACTAGAAACCCACATTTGCACTGGAGATCTAGCACAGCGCTAGAATATTTCCTGGATATGCACACGGACCTGAAGTGATGCCCAGCACTAAAAAAACAGAAAACCATTTGTTTCTCAACTAGATCAGGCAATATAGAATTGCCTTTTATACGGATTGAACACATATTAGGAATCTGAGAGATTATTGTGACCCTTTCTTTTAATCTCAGTTTTTCTTTGACTCAAATGCTATATACATATACATATCACAACACACACACACACACACACACACACACACACACACACACACACACACACACGCTTTCCCCTCCAGAGACGAAGAAACAATTTAAAAAAAATCTGAAATTTGTACTTAGGTGACAAGCAATTTTATTTTGCAAAACAATCACTATACAGCAACAAATACATTTGCAAATTGTTTGAAAAACATGAACTAACTACAACCAGCCATTGAAGAAATGCCTTTCTATGGTAACAGGCTCTAGAATTATCAGAAGAAAGAACCCCCACAGATTTGTAGTGACATGTTGGAACCTTGGGATCCCAGCATACAGAGTACACTTTTTTTGATTTTTTTTCCCTTTTTGCTAAAGTTGAAGTGGACTTTCATGATTGGCATTCTTTTGGAGTTTGAAAACATCTTTTTCCTACAGAGGGACTTGGCCTCAACCCACATGGTCAGGCTGAAAATCCTAGGTGTAAAAACACAAACATCAGTGTTGATGTTAGCACATCAGTCTTTGAAGAAATGCCTGGAATTGCATCCCCATCTGATTAATCTACCTTTTCTTTTCTACTTCTAACACAAGTCATTTCTTTTCCTTCCTGTGGCATGAACAATAAAGAAAAACTGTAAGTGCAGCTAGGTCAGAATGAACAGGTTTAGATTATTTCTTAACTACTACTGATGGTGCTCCCTATGTCTGCAGACCTCTCTTCTACCCCACATGTGTGTGTGTGTGAGTGTGTGTGCGTGTGTGTGTGTGTGTGTGTGCGTGCGTGTGTGGAGAAGGACAACTACAGTCTATTTTTCAGTTTGCTGGACCTCTTCTTTCAGCTACCTTCAGCCCAACTGAGCTGGAATTACACAGGTGTCTTTCCTATGGGTGGGATTTCAGCCCATCATCCTGCTGGAACTCAGCAGGCAGCTCCAGAAAGAGTCCGTTCCTAAGTGAACATGGCCTTAGAAACTCATCATAAACTCGGATCCTTCCTGCATTGTTGCAAGGTATCCAATTTTCAGGTGCAGGAGACCCAGAGCATACGAGTTCATTGCAAAAGTTGGCCTTGGAACTCTTCAGAACTCTGGATGCTTACGTATTCTTAAACAGGTTCTCAAAGGCTAACACCAGAGAGAAACTGGCATGAGTAGATCTAGAAAGGGAGCTGTGAAGCTTTCCTTTCTAGATCAGCGTATGTGTGTCCCCACAAAAGTGGTGTCCAAAAGCTTAATTTGAGTCATTATCTTAAGAGAAGGTAAGGTGGGATCCGTCCCATAGTCCCATAAGAAAATGTTTTTAGCCTGTGCATTTCCCTGTCTCTGTCTAGATTCAAAAGTTCAGTCCCCTTGTGTTAACTTTATATAAGATCACAATTTCATGTAAAACAAAGACTTGTATTCATTATAATTGTATTAACATTAGAAATAAATGATTATTTTGGTGCCAGATCTGTTCACATCAGTGATTGGACACGCATTCTAAGAAACTGAATTTTAACACTAAGAAATGTTCTCTTCACCTTAATTTTTATAATAAATGTGGTTGAAATTATTTTCCTCACAGTTTAAAACTACCCTAACCACCTGCTAACTTCTTTTTTTTCTAGGTATCTTTAATCCTTGTCTAGCACTCTCCAAACATGTAAGAATGTCGTTCTTCACACACCATTATCCCATCTTTCATTTCCAGAGTGAGGAAAACATTAATGTTAGGTCAAAAATAAGTGATTTACAAATAAAGACATCCTGTGTGTGTGTGTGTGTGTGTGTGTGTGTGTGTCTCCTGGCTGAGAAGACTGTTTTGGTTGGAAGTTGAGTTTTCCATGTGACTGTCCCACTGGCTATAATACTCAACAGGTCACCAAAATGCCACCAGTGTCTCCTGCTTTGGCATCATCTTGCCTTCTCTCTCAGTTACCCCTACGCCTCTCTGTCCTGTTCTTGTTCAGCATGTTCTTTATATGCAGGACTTGATTTGCTTCACAGACATAAAAATCCTAGCCAACCTTTTTAAGCTAATTTTTCAGATTCAGTCGGCCAATCCTGAGCAAGAAAAAGAATAAATAAATAAAATATAAAAAAGTCCACCCAGTTTGATAATGGTTTATCCTAATTTGGGCCATTGACTACTGTTTACTCATTAAATACGATTTCTCATTGAGTTAAATTGTGATGTCTAGACTTATACAAAATGGAAAAATGTTTACTGATAAATATAGTCATACCATGTTCTTGTACAGACTGCAGTGTTGATTTCTGGAAAGATGGATTTAGATATCTGTGTCTCAAAGGTTTTACATAGGTAGGTTCTCAATATGTTGTAGTTTTCCTTTCTGATTAAGGGATCTTGGGGTAAAGAAGTCAAATGCCTTCTATCAGGGAATTTAATGAACAAGTACTAGTTGGAAAACAGGAAAATATATTCAAAATTATTACTCATAGGTTCAACTTTAGCAAATGGAAAAAAGAAAAAGGGGAGGAAACAAATAATAAAGAATCAGTTCAATGAATGATTATAGGAATTAAACCCAAAGTATTCAGTGATAAAACATGTGCTAAACCCATAATCATTGAGCCAACACTCTGTAAGCCCTTCTATGTATGACTGGACCCACTGCACACACTCCATGTTGGTGAAAGCAAAGAGAAATGAAGTTTCCTAGCATCACAGGACAGACTTGATTCTGGCACCGAAACAGGGCTACAGCTGAGTCGTTACAGAAAGCAACTTCATGCTAGAACGGTTTGTCTTTTTAAAATGTATTTTTAAGTAGGGAGAGAACCCTGCTAACATCTACTTTCACATACCTAAAATTGCAACACCAAAGGGTGTAGGAGACACAGATACTGTGAATAAAGAAGTATCATATTCAAGTATATGAGGAAGTATCACAAATGGCCACAGAGAAATATATATATATATTTATATCTATAATACTGTATCAAACAGATGGAATGGGGGTGTGAAACTGATTGTGTGAACACAAATCTAGCCAATCAGCTGACATTCTAACCAGACACAAGCCCATCCTGATGAAAGCGCATCAATCCTAAGAAATGCACTTTGATACCACTTCTTCAACCACAGCTCAGACACTTTACAGCTAGATTTCAGTTAAATAATTTATTAGGATGGCATACTCTGATATAATCACCCAGGTCCCAAATGTTAATAACTTAGTTGCATCTTTCTTCCCATTTATACAAAATAACACCTTAAATATGTGTTTCTCACATGCTCTTTCCTTCCTGCGACCAGACTTCTTCAGACTCCTTGATTTCATTTAACCTGTAATAGGTGACAATGGGCAGTTTTTAATCTTTTCAACCATAAACAGAAGAGTGAAATGAGCAGCTTGGAATTTTAACAAGGCCTTTCAGAATGAGTTGGAGAGCCTTCAGGCACATGAAAGGTAAAAATGCAATTTAAAAAATAATAGTACTCCATGCAAAACAGAGCAGAGCGAAAATAATTGTCCGATTGTATCCATGTAAAGCCATGTGTTCCTGTTGCGGATGGAAATCAGGTCATTGTTCTGCATATACTATTCATTTTTTATATAAAATTGTAACAATTACTACAGTTTGGGGGTGAGATTATTTATCTATGGTTTGTAAAGAATGAATATGACACCTGCTTAGAGCCCACTCCTGCCAAGAGCTCATGCCTAAATGTACTCCCGTGCTAAAGGAGACATATTCACAAGCCCTGCTTCGCAAGCGCGGCAGTGACATCCTCAGCCAAAGTGGCAAGCTGAGGGGACTCCAGCAGGTTGATACTTCCCGAAGAGGAGACGTTGCTGAGTCGCCGAGGCGATGCCACGCTCGACCTGCTTGGGGACTGTGTGATGATCTCAGCCCCATGGTCTACACGGGCCTTTGCGTGCTCTCTGAAGTTCAACTTTTGGCTGTCAATCTGTTTAAGAGAAGCATTAGTCTTCATTAGCCAAGGCCTCTTCACTAGTCCCCAGCTTGTTCCTACCATCCCACAGCTGCTAAGAATCGGATGTCTATTCAGCTCAGTGTCCCTCCTTCCTGTTTGACACGTTCTTAAAGCAGAGACCCATTTTGATCAAACTATTTCAGATTGTGGTTAGGAATCACGATGGGTTACTAAAGTGGTAGTTGTTAAGTTCTTCAATTTACGGACATGTATGTAGGTAAACATACATATATGTATGTAACAACAATCAATTTAAAACCACTGGCCCTGAATTTGAAAGAGAACTAGGGATTAAGAGAAAGAAAAGAGAAAGAGGAAATGATATAATTACAAAATTATATTTATTATATTCTAATTGCAATAAAATAAAAAGTAGAAAAAGGAATATTTCCTAAGAAATGTGTTTGCACACACACAATGGCTCACGACCTCGTCTCTCACCTTCACGTTGCCTCCTCCGGGTACGTGGTGAGCATTGTCAAGGGAGCCCACTTTAGCTTGGGCCTTCTCCTTGAAATCCAGTTTTACACTCTCGATTTTCACACGTCCACCACCTTCAAGAGGAGAAAGACTTTTAAATTCTTTGCTGAAATGAAATCTTCTATTTATGAAAACTATCCTCATACAAGGATGAACCACATGGAACGCCAGGGAGGAATCTGAAGTTTCAGTCCACATCACTTCGCCTCACGAGGCAGTAGATGGACATCCTCTTACACCACGGTACAGATTGCTCCACACAATGCGCACTACATCCCTATCCGTGTCTCCTTGGGAACCAGAGAGGTTTTCCTTAGTTGTCCTAATACCTCTAAAAATACACAGCAACGAAAATATCCTCCTGCATCCTTTCTAAACCTTCAGACATGTAATACTTCTATTTTTACTAGAATAAATTAAGTGGAAATGAAACTGTCCTTTATTGATCTTCATGATAAAAAGGATAAAAAGCCACTTCTCTAAAAGAGTTTTAGGCTGTGTTGGTGCACGTCCTAGACAGTTGTGAGCTTGGCACACCTAGAGTGCCCCGAGGGAATCTCAGATGATGACGTTTCCAGATCAGAGTGGCCCAGCCAACTGTAGGTGGCACCATCTTTGAGCAGGTGGGCCTGGGCTATGAGAAAGCTGCATGAACATGAGCCAATAAGGAAGCCAGAGAGCAACCCAGCAAGCAGAATTTCTTCATGACTTTGGCTTTAGTTTCTGCTTGAGGTCCTGCCCTGGTTTTCCTCCATGACGACTGTGACCTACAAGTGCAAGCTGTGATGAACCTGTTGCTTTTAGTTATGACACCTAAGTTACTTTTAGTTATGAAATCAGATTGGGACGGTGGGTATATAGACAATATTCAGTTAGCTTTCTGTATTTGCAGGCTCTACATCCTTGGATTTGAAAATACTTAGGAAAAATTTGCGTCTGTATTGAACACCTGCAGAACGTTTTCCTTATCATTATTTCCTGAATATTATATAATCAAGATTTATACAATATTTAGATTGTTAGATGCTACACATAATAATGAGGTGATTTAAAACATACAGAAGGAAAAATCTATGCCATTTTATTTAAGAGACCCGAGGGTCTGGGTATCCACAGGGAGTGTTGGAACCAATTCTGCATAAATGAGGGAGAAGCCTACTCTCACTTGTACAGTCCCAGCATCAATAATTTTTCCAATGAAGTGAGTTAAGAATTGCATTTTTTATAACTAGTTTTAAGACCCCTCCTCTACTTAGCATACAGAGTGCTAGGCTATGACTGAAGAGTTTCTTGTACAGATTCTGACATTGTCACTGTTCTGATAACACTGACAGGCTTTTGGATCATGCTACTCCAGAGTGCTAAAACTCTCAAGTGTGATAATCTGTTGATGGCTATGGTTCCACAAACACCCCTTAGAGCTGTTTTTTCCATCCCTATGGGCCTCTCTTAGACTTTCAAAGTAGAGCTTCTACACTTAGTAGCTATACAGTGTTGCTCCTACTGCTCTTTAACCACGGCTAAGCGTTTGCTGATGTTTTTGACTTAGAAAGGTAGACTATAATCTATTTTATAGATCTGAACCTAAGAGATTTTCATGGGATGTTTGGTTTCAACTACCAGCATTTGTCAGGAAGAAGTGTATCTTGATCCTTTAATCTGACATTTCCATGGGGATTTTAATTTAGAAAAAAGTGGTAGCAAGAACTATAAAAATATGTTGAATTCTCCTTTTTTAATATTTATTTATTTATTTATTTATTTATTTTGAGCCAGGGTTTCTCTATGTAACAGCACTGGCTGTCCTGAAACTCTCTTTGTAGACCTGAGAGATCCATCTGACTCTGCCTTATTAGTGCTGGAATTCAAAGTGTGCGCTACCATACCTACCTCAATTTGGAATTCTTATTTCTTTTAAGATTTATTCATTATGCATATAGTATTCTGCCTTCACGTACGCCTGCAGGCCAGGAGAGGGCACCAAACCTCATTATAGATGGTTGTGAGCCACCATGTGATTGCTGGGAATTGAACTCAGGACCTCTGGAAGAGCAGTCAGTGCTCTTAAACTCTGAGCCATCTCTCCAGCCCTTCAATTTGGAATTCTTGATGCTTATGTATCTCTGCAACTTTTTAGGAGTCAGTTTTTCACTACTACAGATTATGCAATTTAAGTTTTCCACATTTGAGAAAATTGCAAGGGTCAGCACATCCCAAGGGCAATGGAGGAGGCTTGCCATAAGAAAACCTTCCTGATCATAGTATCCTTCCTACCATATAAAGAAAGGAGGCTCATTAAGGTTTACCCACATTCTATTGAGTCTGTGATATCTTTCTTGTTCTAATTCTAGACAGTTATATTAATACTCAACTTGCTTGGCCAAGGGCCTCTTGTAAGGTATTAAAATACATTTTTAGAGGAAAATGTAGAACTCAATAAAAAGCAGTAAAATTAAAAAAATAATAAAAAATACATTTTCAAAAGCACTCATTTCTTTGTCTTGGAATTTAGAGTGTATAAACTAGTATGTAATTCACATGTATGGGCGCTACCTCAAAATATGCATGATTTCATGGAGCATTGTTCTCCCTGTGTTTTGCCTAGCCTGTGGGTCTCTCTTGTTGGTTGTGAGGGGATTAGCATCATTCATAATGATTTATACAAATGCAATCACCTTGGTTAGCTGGAGAATGTTGGGTCTTTTAACTAAGGATATTAATTGCTTGGGAATCTTATTTTGCATTTTTTGGTAGCTTCTGGCAAAAATTGCTTTCCCAAGATTCCTTTCTTTTACTGTATGTTGTGTTAACATAGTTTTGTTAAAATGTTATTGAATTTTTTTATTAAAAGGAAAGGAAAATAACATATTGACAGAAACTACATCCAATAAACTACATCTGTTGTTTTCTCAATAGACAGTCTTATGTAATGTTTAGACAAGCCCATCTGAATTTAGAGATATATGCCTCTGGTTTTAAAATACTTCGGCATCCACCATGAGAAGTAATTATGAAAAATTATAATCTTCATCAGGCTTTAAAGTGAACTGCAACTATGATCGCTATTGTCAAGGATCACCATGCTGACGCTTCCTTTATGAATTTAGTCATCCAATTTAGTTATAATAGAAGAATCAGATTTAGAAATAAGTGGGAGTCTGTGACAATAGTCTTTTGTGCCCACTAAATCATAAACAGAATATTGCCTTTATCTCTATGATGGTTCCTGTGCATACAAACCAGGTGAATGACTAACTACATCTGTTCAGAATCAAAGAAACCAGCGTTTTTCTTTGTACTCTGCAAGAAAATTGGCAATGTGGCAAGGTACCCACATTATGCTATAAACTGAGCAGTAGCCGTCAATCAGTCAGTGGTAGACCAGCTATAGACAGGGGTGTTTGAAGATCTGAACTAAGGCATGTACCGTTGCTGCTCATGAGGAGAGAGCATGGATCCCTTGGGGGCAGTTCTGTATCTAGCAATGCAGATTCCATACACAAAGACTCAATTTCCTTGACTCTTCATGAACACAGGCCCAGTGAAGAATTATTTCTGGATTTTTCTCATGTAGCTGTCTACTCTGAGACTTGTTCAGCCCATTTTTGTATCCAATCAAAATGATCCTAATAATTTTCTATCTGGAAGTCTCAGTTCAATTATTTTCATACCTTACTTTGGACAATATTTGAGATGATAATTAATCTACTAATCTACATTTGGTTTATATGTTAAAATACCAAACAGATGGATAAGGTCAATTATTTTGCCCTCCTGTAATCCAATGGTCTGCTATAAATTGTACAGTGTCAAAATATCCTCAAGAACAAGAAACATTTGATAGTTATTCATTATTATCTATGTCTGGAGGTGGAATTTAGCACAAGTAAACCATTTGTGATACTCAGAATAAAAATGACTCATGCCATATTCATACTTTTGAAATGAAGACCCCCACCTCGGCAAGTGGGGATTCAAGTTCTAGTTTAAAATCCTATCCATGAGATTCCTGGAAACGATAAGAGAGTCTAGGGCCAGGCACACTGGGGGCATATTGCCTTCTGCTGAGGAGTCCCAGTGCTCAAGAGAGAGCTGGAGAAATGAATCAGTAAATGACTTTCTTCAGCTATGAGATCCCATCCCATTTTATATAATGTAAAAAACATAATTTTAAGAAACATATTTGGAAATACTGTCTTCGGTCACTGTTCTTACATATAAGACTCAGTATATTTTGCAGACTCCATATCCTGAAAGAATTCTGGTGTTCTATACACATGGTCACCTCCAGGTAATTAGGTTCACTTATTCCAAAGGAAGATGCTGCGACAGTTTGTACTTAAATATTTATTAACAAAAGCAGTATCAAGAGTTTGAAACATTTTTTTCTATCATGTTTTTCACAAAACATCAAGAATTCTGCCTGTCTACTTCTTCAATCTAATTAAGTATACTACAACTGTTACAAATATTTTTTACCTGGCCTGTGACGAATGTTCTTCAGAGAGCCACATTTGGATGTCACATGGCTTAAGTCTATCTTCTTAGTAACAATTTGTACCTGTGCGAATCACAGGAAATGAACTTTAGAGAGCGTAGACACAGAAGGACCCACAAATCTGGATATGTACTCACACCTGTAACAGGTCACATCATATCCACAAACACACACACACATCTACACACACAGAGACATAGACCACACACACAGAGACATGCACACACACACATGTAAACAGACACACACAGACATACACCCACAGACACACACACACAGACATACACCCACACAGACACCCACACAGACACCCACACAGACATACACATACACAGACATATACACACACAGACATACGCACACACAGACACGGACACACACAGACACACACAGAGGCATATACACAGACCACACACAGACCACACACAGACAGACAGACAGACAGACACACACACACACACACACTTCTTGTCTCCTCTATTTCAAACTGGAAAGAAGAACCCAAGCAAGTGAAAAACCCTAGAAGAGAAGTCTTATTAGTAGAAAATAGATAATGCTTGTAAGAGCGTGGGGCGATTTGTATTAATAAGGCAAGCATCCCCTGAGAAAAGCCCACCATGTTAAACTCTTCCACAGCAAGGAGCAAAGAGAAGGATGGGTTATCATTCACAAGGTGACTTTTATATAGATGTGACTAATGCTGGTCACAGTAACAAGACAAGCATGGAGACAGAAGAAAGTGCTGAGAAGACTTTCCTAAACTGTCCCCTTAGCCTGGCTAGACGGAATTTTTCTTATGCACCGGGCTAGAAAATGATACCGCTTTTTCTTGTTTTTCTATTTCATTAAAATGTTTCATCTGTCAATATTTGGAGTGGTCCAGTCTCTGTCAACCTCAGAAGAATGTAAGAATCCCTCAGACACGGGGAATATGCACAATCATACAGGTGATTCGTCTTTTACAGGAAGTCTAAGACCATTGTTTTGCAGGTTGGAAGCTCCTACTTAAGCTTAGTATTAGATCTTATGTTATCTGAACATTTTCTTTACTGCTGTATTTGGACCAAAGACATTTGCCGTGTAGGGCAGCATGGTCCATCTTCTGCTACTCTCAAGGGAATAAACTGGATCAGAGAGAGCTTCTTCCGTGAAGTATCATATGTTGTTATACTTATAGTCAGGAGAACAGCTAAGTCAGTGTGGGTACTGATCCTGAGGCTTAGAACAGCATCCATGAAGGAGACCAGCAAATGGTCTGCTTTGACCTTTGGGGACTGCTCTTTATAGAAAGGACTACCGTCTTCTTTTCTTCCAGGCTGAAGACTGAGAAGGAATCTTAGACTGTTAAAGGTTCAGGGTCCGATGCTGTATACATTAGTTAGGTCACAGACTATCAATCAGAGCCTCATGCTCAGATGCAGAAAAATAGAATCAGCATGAGTCACCTTTTGAAATCATTCTTATTTTATAAGAAACCATAATTTCTTCAGCTTGAGCTAATCTGACTACTTTCACTCTGCCTCCACCAACAGGTAACAAGTATGGATTCAGTATTCATTTCTTTTCATAGGATATTATTTTCACTAAATGAAAAGAGACAGGAAAAATCCCAGCAGGATAAAATGTATGTCAGAGCAGCAGTCTTTTTACTTTGAATTATAAACGAGGCATGCTTTGCCAGTTTTGTGTTTTTCCAAAAGATATCCTACCTTTCCTAAATACTGAACCAGGAAGGAGTGACATCACGTACTGAGTGCTTCCAAGCGTACCAGTCTTTGCCTCAAGAGTAATTTACATGAAGTTAGAACAGTGTGAGCCTGACTCACTTTTTCAGAGGAAAAGAGACAGCAATCGAAGCATCTTAGTGAAAAGGCCAAGAAACAGTTAGCAGGTGAGGAGGGTAGCCATTCCCCCCACCCTCCCCTCAGAAAGCCATGGTGCATCTAGCCAGCCTTCCTTTCTTATCTGATTGGAGAGCAAAGGATGGGAAGCCCATCACCAGGAAAGCAAACCACCACACCAGACGACATGTGTTGAGAATGTAGTCTGTCATGAGGAAGGTGAAGAAGGAGAGAGGGTGCTGGCTCTGCAGGGCTCCACACACTTTCAAGTCAGCCTTTCTCAGAGTCACTTCTACTTACATTTCCGCCCCCAGCAGAATGTTTGATGTTATCCTTGGAACCACATCTTGACTGAACTTTGCTAAAATCGATCTTCTTGTTTAAAATCCTAACCTAAAAGGAATTGGAGGTAACATTTTTCTTTCCAGGTATTGGGCAGAGGGAACCAGAATGTGGAGTACTATAGAGGCCCTCAGCTTCCTTCCACCCATGGTCATGTAAGAGAAGATACTACACTGCACCTGAATGGGCTGTGTCATGGAGTATGAGCCTCCATTTTCCTGGAACCCTGAAGGTCAAGCTCTGGAGCTTTAGGTATACTAGTTTTATAGGTATAATCTCAAAACAGTAAGAATGAAAAGTGAAAACCTGGATCATCTGTGAAGGAAACACTGGGGCTCTGGTTTACTCAGTGCAGTGTAGTTTAGCCCACGATCTGGAAGGAAATGCCAGTGCAACGCCCAGTCCCATGTGGGCAGTCATCGGCTATTAACCACCGCCTACACTTCACTGTTCTATTAGCCTATACCGCACAAGTGAGGTTCATGCTTGGTCTGGCTGATAGTTCCAAGTCAGGATTCCCACTCCTACAAGAATTCCTGTTCCCTAGGAGGGTCAACAAAGAATCCCAGGGTCTGCTTTGACTGCGGCTATGTCTTTTAAAGGTCCCCTGCTTTTAATAGCTCCTGAGCAACCATTACCCATTAGAGGCCATTTGGAAACATTCCTTCCATATGCCAAGGTAAGAAAACCAACGTCCATCCGTCAGCTGGCTTATATTAGGTTATCTAGACATCATCTAGGCTTTGGTTTCAGCCTCAAGACTTGAGACAAAATGTCTTTTCAGGAAGTCAAGCATTCATCCTGAAAACCACAGCAAATCAGGGCCTGGAAAGACATTACTTGCAGTAATATACTGCAAGAGTCATAACTGTTATAATTTCTTTCATCTGCCTTTTGAACTTAGCATGTTTTGAGGACAAACAAAATAAATATAGAAGGAAGGACTTAGTTTTGTTATGCTCATTGCTCTCCTTTGTTTACTTTCTTTAAAATACTTCTTCATAACTTAAAAAAAACCCACATCTTTAAGGTACAGTTTATCTTCTGCACAAACTCTTATTAACTTTAGTTTAAATGTGCAGTCTTCTTGAGAGAATTAACAAGTCTATGGGTATTTGCAGAAAAGAATCTAAAATTCAAAAGGGCATAGAATCCTATTTTTAGCTAGGCAAGGCTTAAATCACCAGTGCCTGTCTAACAAGAACAAGACAGCTTGTCCCTTGCAGAAAAATATCATTGGCAGCTCTCATCAGGAGCCCAAGGCAAGGACCTCTTGTCAACATTTAAATTCAGAAGATATGATGGTTAGGCTGCTCTCTAGGGCATAACAAAACTTTCAATGTAAAAACTGTGGGGATAGCAAAGGATGAATAGCTACCATTAAATATACCGAATTCTAAGTTTTATGTAAGTGGTGGAAGTACTGATTCTCAAACTGTGAAGACTATTACATTTAAAACCTCAATAATAAATTATCCTCAGAAGGAAAATCATAACAATTTTTATGTCTATTAATATTTTAAATAATTCTGGGAATGAAATAGAATTTATATGAGCCATTTTACTATCTTATGGGGATGAAAGGTATTTTAAATTTTATTTCATAAATTTCAACTTCATCATTAAAGTCTTAAGTGAATCAGCACTAAATCATTAGAACTCCAACACTGATTCTGATTCACTTATTGTAAGACTGGAAAACCAAGTTCCGCTCATGGATCTGTTTGACTCTAACTTTAATTAATGATTTGACATTTTTTATGACTTCCAAAATAAATGATTCAATTCAAAAGACTCACCTTGCCAACATCACTTAGGATGTTCTAGAGTCTCAAAATCCTATTATTTAAAAAGCTTACTTTTGTTGATTTTTTTTTTTCCAGAGTCACTCATTTCCCAGGGAAAAACTGAACTGGTCTTTTTTTTAACAGTAGTATCTCTACTCAATTTGTAATGCAAAGGCTTTGGGCATGAATAATGTTGTACTTTTTACAAGTCTATGTATTGAAATAGCTTGGTAATTTCTTCATATTGAGGTTTTCCCTTCATTCAAATTTTTAGAAAGTTCTAAGGAATAGAAGACCAGGTCATTGACGTGAATTAACTTGTAAACAGTTTGTTCAGCTTTTCACTGTATCCTGAGGTCTAGGCTGTTCATGTCCTTGTTTGGCTGAATGAACAGCAAACAAAATGGGGAAGCATTGATTTCAGTTTTGTGAACTCAAAGTACTAATTTTCTCAGAAGTTTCAATAATTAGTATTTATAAATATAGCTCTAAAAATTTTGCTACCCTACAAATTTTTGAATTATAGCTTTTCTTTTCTTTTTTTTTCAATCTGTGTTGAATATAGTCAGATATTGGCATCTTTTGAGACATCAAAGGGTTTAATAACAAAAAGATACGTATGATCAGTAAAGAAGTCTTTTCCATATAATGTAATGAACTTCAGTGAATAGTTTCCACCTTCATACTATGGTTACTGACACTATTTGAACCTTAAGTTATTTTATTGTTCACCTATTTATCACTTTCTCAAATAATTAAATGAAAATAAGGCAGTGAAGGAAGACAAGAGAAGTCAAAACAAAACCTGTCCAATCTCTCAAGACTTAGAGACCATGCTTTCCTCTCTCGTTCGGTCATATACCAGTTGGCAATGTCATTGTTTGATTCTTCATATGTGAATGAGAAAATAGCCTTATCTACTCTTTTTGCCTTAGTCTTTCTTGGAGATTCCACTGTCTGTGGCTCAGCTAATCTGAGAAAGACAGATTGAGGCAATACCTGACAATTCACAAGGCAATCAATCAAATTCACAGGCATAGCCACAGCTTTGCTTCCTCTAGCCATTTAATAATGAACAGCCTGAGAAAGCAGGTTCTGTTGACTGGTTCCATTCATAATGTGCAACTACTGCAGGGGCACAGACTTGTGCTGTTTGTTGTTGGGGTCTCACTACTTAGCCCAGGGTGACCTTGAACTTGCAATCCTCGTGTTGCTGTTTACCTAGTGCAGGAATGACACACTGGGTGTGGCATCACACCCTAAGACCATGTGTGTTTAAAATGATGTTGATACAGTTGAAAAAAAAATAAGAATGCTTCAGTAGTAGAGGACTATTCCTTTGGTTCACAGAAAAGCTAAAACAGAAGTTGCTTCTTTTTTTTTTTTAAGCTACATGTTTGTTTCATCCACTTCTTAAAAGAAGAATATTAATTTAAATTTAGATTAAACTGAGATTGAGGACCTTGCCACAGATAGTTCCAATTTGAAATATTTAATAAGATAGTTGTAGTTATACCTTGAGTTAAATGAGCCAAGCTCACTCTCTCCAGCAAATCCATCATTGTGTTTTTGTTTGTTTGTTTTTGTTTTTTTCTCATTAGAATGGGCCTATGTTTGGGCTGAGAGGATTAACTATATTACTTTCCGCAAAGCTCATCATATTTTCTACTGACTCATCTATCCCATCAGGCACTGGCTTGCCTTTCTTAACTGCGCTGAGCTTGTCTGGTGACAGCAACTGGACTGTCACATCAGAGATAAGAGACAGGTACAAAAGAGCTACAGACAGAAAGCAGCACATGTTTCAATTGGTGACAAATATCCAAGTTGCCAAATGTCTGCATACCACTGTTTTAAAAACTAGTTTCTGCGCAAAGTATGGGGTTCCTCTGTCTTCCTTGATGAATCTTGGCTGGCTACTGCCCACTCAAAAATGCTAAGATAATGACCTTGTAATTGAAAGCAGCATGTCAATAGTCACAATTTTTTTCAATGCAGCCAGATAATCAAGGTCTTTAACACAGCTCCCTTATTATTTCCATGACACCCTAATGTATTATATTTCCCATTTATTCTATAAGGAAGGAACTGTAAAACGCTCTAGCCAAACACTCCAGTAAATATCCACACACAAAAAGCTTCCTTCACTGCCAACATTTGGGAAGATGCACTCACTATATGAGGGGTTTTAGGAGGAAAATGCTACAGTGTTGAGACATGAGTATTTCTGTAAGGATAACTAACTCAATGGCAAGCATCAATTTCCTTTTATAAATTAATCAATTTAAAGTTGGGGGTATTTTCTCTCTGCGTCTCATCTTGGTGAAGAATACCTCCTGTTTCTACACAAAAGTCACGGCATTGTTTCTTGGTTTCTCTCTGTCATCTGGTGCTGGGACAGGGTCATTTTGAGTCAGTTTACCCCCCTTCCCAGTGAAAAAAGATATTTAATAAATAACGCCAAGATTTTGAAGCTATTTTTGTTTGTGATATAAATATGTCTTAACCAGTCCTTAAGCATACTCTCTTGGGAAGCTATATCTCTGATCCAAAAATATACCAACATTATGAATCGCCAATTTTAGTGGATGTCAACTTGAAGTGGACTTTGGAACATAAAATAAACAAAAAGAGGAGAAAATGGATGCCCTCATATTTTAGTCTTGATTTAAAGAGTCTTGCAGATCTATGGCTAAAACTAAAGTAGAAAGAGCAGGGTAACCTGTAGGGACCCTCAAAGAAGGTCATAAATTATAAAATTCATGCTATAACATATCATATATTCATATTCATAACATATATTATAAAATTTCTGTGAAATTATATAAATGCCTTTTACTGTTTATTAAATCTTCTCTTTAGTTTCTATATGACAGGACATTTTTTAGGAATCTAAGAGATGATGGTTTTAAAAATCAGGACTCAAAGAAAGCCACTTTTAGTGAAGAAGAATCTGCAGACACAGGAGTTTTCATAACAGGGAACCTATGCAGTGTTGCTTGCCTGTAGTCTCAGCACTTGGGGAGTGAGACAGGAGCATGGGTTAAAGGCTTGACCAACCTTGTCTCAGAACAGGCTACTCCACTTTTGGACAGCTTATCAAAAGCTGTGGTGAGGAACTTTCCATTTAAGTTTAATAGTTTGTTAAACTTATTTTATTCAAGTTACTCTTCTAAATGATTTGCATATAATTATTAAAAATTTGACAGGTGGCCATTTCTAAATGACCCGAAAGGTCTCCTTCTCTCACATGGGTAAAACTGATGAATGTGAGAACAATGAGATGATTCTTGCTCTTTTTATTTTATTACAGATCAAATTTGTTAGAATTTGGGTTATACGTTATACTTTTGGCTTTACAAGTTTCTTACACCTCATATTTTCACAGCATCTTCCTGTGAAATGTATTGTTTGTGACCACACTATTACAGCCATTCTGTAGGCCCATTGTCCCCCTGCCCCGCCCTGTCCCTGGCTCACCATCTGATTTTTCTTAAGCCCTTGGGTTTTCCTAGAACAGAATCATGATGTGAGAACCACTGAAAGCTGATGGGAAGGAAAGAGCAGCAAGGAATTCTGGTACTGACAGTAGGCAGGAATGCTGGAAGACTTCACACATCAGCAAGAGCTTTCCCTGTAACCTAAGATAGAATTTTCTTGGCAAGAAGGAAGGATATCAGAAATTAGAGGCAGAAACCCTAGGAGACAAGTGGAGGAGAGACAGAAAAAGCATCCAGATCCATAGAAATCTGGGGTCTAATGGAGCATTATGTCTTTGTTACAAAGGTAGACAATGCTTTTTGTCCTGTATTTAAAGAATAATTTAAAACATCCTTTCAAAGTTGAGCCATCTAATAGGATAGTGATATTCTGAGACATATTTAACAGTATTTATATCATTTTTTCCAGGCTTTATCCAAGCAAGATTCAGGTCAGAATAGAACGCAGAGCCCACTGCCTAGAGAGCAAGTGAATGTTTGTTCTAGACCTGCTGCCAGAAGGAAAAAGAGCTTTTGTTCACAACAGTAGAGCTCTAAAGTAGAACTTCCATGGTTACAGTTCTGTTCACTAGAACTGTAGAGAGTTATCTGCTTAATGTCAACCAAAATATCCACCCTTTTTAATATCTAGGCAATAAGTCAGGCAGCAACTTGGCAAACCACACTGTGATTCTGGAATAAATATTAGGAAATGATAAATCACAAAGGAAGAATTTAAAATTGCAGTCACTAAAGTTAATAGGTGAGCTCATTGTCTGAATCCAAGAAAAAACTCAAATCTGTATTACAAGTAACCTTTAATATTTCCAAACCTACAGAGCTGTGGAGTTCTAATCAGAAATCATTCTTGCATAAAGTCTAGTCAACTAGTGTCCACGAATGATCAGAAGGAAACAACGTATTGACTGATTTTCAGTGTCTTTCATCAGCTTGGCTCCTCAGCAATGAATGATGACCAGTGACCTTGCATCATCCCCATCTCCTGAGACAGAGCTGTCAGATTATAATGCACAGAAATAATTTAACCATGAGTGGGACTGGATTTCTGACATCAAGTATGTGATAGCACAGAGTTCTTACCTGACCCCCTTTGGGCTGGTATTTGATGTTGTCAGTTGATCCGATTTTGGACTTGACATTTTTCAGGTCTGGCAGTGGCTGGTTAATAAGTCGAAGCTGCTTGGGAGTAGCTGGGGACTTTGGAGGGGTGCGAATGATGGCGACTTTCTTCTCACTAGGCACCAAGATGGCAGATTTTGGGGTTCCTGGTGTATGAGGGGTCCTGGGATAGCTGGGGGTTCCAGGAGTACCTGGGGTACGTGAAGAGTAGCTTGGGGGAGTGCCAGGAGTGATCGCAGTGGATCCAGGAGTGGTCGGGGTTGAGGTGCCACTCTTTCCAGCTCTGCGAATTGGCTCTGACCCTTTGTTAACAACCAGGTCACACACACACAAACACACACGCACACACACACACACACACGCATACATGGAAAAGAGAGAAAAGAAAACCACACCATGGCATCAGAAAGTTCTCTTCAAGGCACCCTTCTTCCTACATATAGTACTCACAAAGTACTTTACTCCAATGCATTCAGAACCCTATCAAAAACCACAATAATGCTTAAAGAGGCGAGATCCTCCTTTCCTCTCTTTGGGTTCATAAGTTGGTGATATCTTAGGATATATGTTAGTATACAAATTAAAAATTTGTACTTTTTTCCTATTTAGTCTCATAGTTCTTAGTGGGAATCTTGGAAAACTATCCTTCTGCTTGTATGGTTCCTGAGGCAGAGGGAAGACCTGGAGCTGGAAACAGTATACATTTATTGACAGATGTCCCTGTGAGTACTCCTGAATGGCACGTGGGCCACCCTTTCCTGTCTTCAAGCACATCTATTCTGAGTCTCAGACGTACTTACGATAGACAACTGTGTATTTAGTTCCTACAGTTTTAGCCTGTGTGGGTTTCAGTGTTCACCTCTCAGCTTATATTGAGAGCTCAGATAGTTCCAAACTAACACAGTTATTAAGAGGGGTTTATTATACCTTGAGATAAGTGAACCAAGCTCCCAATCTCTACTGAATCTAGCATTACACATGTTCCCTTCTCCTAGAGTTCATGAGGTTCCTGCAGAGAATTGTTTCCTTGACATTTTTCAGAAGTTGAGTAAATGCCAGAACATTCCTGTGTGTAGCTAAGGAGATGGGAGGCAGACAGAGAAGGGTAAAATGCTTGCCTTTCTAACTGCCTATGAGTGTTTTTGCTATTGCTGCACAGAGCTATCATAGGCCCAATATTTGTACATGTCAACATGTCAGGTTATAGTCACTACCAAGTGACACAGTGCGGTAGACTTGTGTTCAAAGTAAAGCCAGAGAGTAACAGCAGCCCTGGCTCAGAACATTTAAAAAGCAGTTTATAGACAGACACCTCTTAAGGGAAAAGCAAAGTGGCTCAAAAAAATGGATTCACGTAGAAAGTGCCATTTTGTTTCCATAGCAACACATATAGGCATAATTTAAGATGTTCCTTTGAAGAGCACCTGATGCCTTTGTGTTGTCTTACCCTCTTCTGGGTTCTTGTTTAATGTCCAATTCCAACCCTAGATATTTGGAGTTAAATTCACTCCCCTGGAGATCACCAACTTCTAAATGTCCTTCCTCCTAGTTCTTTTCCAGCAGTTTATTTTTTTTCTATGGTAAGAGTTTTGAGGTTTTTCACTGAGTTCTTAGAATAGAATTCAAAGGATCTTAATATTTCATAAAATCAAATGGTGCTGGGCATGAGCATTGTAATGACAGCAACATTTTCGCCATAAACAAAACCACTGAGTATCAGGCATGATAGCTGAGTCTGAATAGGACGATTATGATTGAAAATTTGAAAGCAAATGCTGAGTTAAAGTGATCTACAATATGACAGTGGTAGCAGTTTCTATCAGTACATCCTAGCTCCTCAATTACAGGGACCTGGGTCTCCATATAGTGTGATAGAGCACTTCTCTAACACGGCTCCTTCCAAATCAATGTTAAGGTGTTAAGGCAGGTTGTGAAGCTATCAATGGACTGAAGACCAAATCTGTCCAAGCATTAGTTGTGCAGCATTACCTAGGTTGTTCTCTCTGTTAGGTTAGTCTCTTGTCGTTGAATTAAGGGTGCTAACAAACAACCATCAGAACTGTTAACTCAAGTGTTAACAGTTTTGTATCTAACATGTGTTAAACATGTAGCTATTTTCACTGACTGGAATAGTGGGATAACAATGGGATACAGGATTTACTGTATGGCCTCGGCACTGATGTAAACTGCAGTGTAATGATTTGAGAACTATACAGATTGCTATAATCACTGATCATCACGGTCCAGGAGTAAAAGGAATTGAAGATATTGTACAGAACATGTCATGTGAAAGGTCATTTGACATAAGCATTCCTAAGATATTGAGCAGAATTTTCATTTTTCACCTTGTGTGTATACTTGTGAATATTTTGTGTGTGCAGAAATTAAAGGTGGATAGCAGGTGTCTTTATTGTTTACCACCTTACATTTTGAATCATGGTCACTGAGCTCAGGGACCCTCCTCCATTCAAAGCTGTGCTTACAGACACCCAGCCCTGCACATAGTTTTACCCCAGTGCTAGGGAGACAGATTCAGGTTCTTATGATTTTGCAGAGCCCTTGCCTACAGAAATATCTCTCTAACCTTGGATTTTAGATAGATTTTGCTGGCTTTTCCACCTAGGATTTAAGATGTAGAATTCTAGCAAGAGTTTAGCTTGTATAGATGTATAAAGCAACCCATTGGGTGATTTTCTCTATTTTTTTTCCAGAAATTTTTGTTTCATCTTTGAAACAAGAGAGAAAATATCCTTTTAAAAGTTATTGTCTCAAGCTCAGTAGATATTGAGACGATCTTTTCCAATTTCTTCCATCACTTGTTTTGACTAAAAGAATTATTTTGGAACAATCTACAATCTAGATTTTCTAATTCTTATCTATGGAGATCATATCTTTAATACAGGTACATTTTTATATAAATACTACAAAATTAAATAAACTTCTCTTTCACTTAATGGATTAGACAATGATTAAGGGAAGCCAAGTAGATAACCTACGGGTGGTCCGCCGTGCTGAAGAGATGGAGCTGTTCAGAGAGAAGGAGTTCTCCTCCCTGTCTCCTGATACACCCCTCCGAGGAGGGAGGATGGAGGAAGGTCTTGGGAGGGAAGAACGCTTTTCTGGGCTCTTGGTGACACCATCCTAATTAGAGGAAACAAAGACATGAGGTCCATCTTAGTTATGCAAATTAGTTACACTACCCTGACCATGTTTTCCTAGAAGATAAATTATTTTATTATGAAACACCAATCTTCATATACTAATAAAACCTTCTATGTCAGTAGAGTTCATGTTTTCTTGTTGTACTATCAGAATTTATTATCCTGGAGTGACACGATTGCAAATGAATTATGGATTTCTGTTTTTGAGCAAGAATGTAGATGGAATGAACTTAGAAAAGTTATCTTTATAATTTGCTAATTGGGCCAAAAGCTTCATTAGTATAATAGTTTCTTTAGTCAGAATAGACTGGAAGAGGATTTTGCAGCATAATATTACACCCGGGAACACAACTACTTATTCCCTAGAAGTGTGACAGGAACTCTTAAATATACCGTATCAAGTTATATCATTCTCACTGCAAAATACTATACACACTTAAAGTTAAGGAAATGGGTTTAATAATTTAATGTATTTTTTTCAGTTCCCAGAGTTTGCCTGTGAAAGAGATAGTAGTAGTTCCTTTAATGCCTGATAGAGAGTTCAAGTGTCATATTGAATACAACTTGCTGTTATTAGATTATATATTATCGATTGCATATGCTGTATGTGGAATATGTCACAAAGGAAGGCATTTTATTTTGTTGGTTTTTAGTTGATATTTCATAAAACAAATAAGAAATAATAATGAATAGGTTTGAGAAAATGGGAACTTGTGTTTCTCTTCTAACATAGAGGTGGCCCATCAAAGTTTTTCAGTTATATTTGTTATATAGTATATATAGTATAATAGGATCTACTGTTAAGAAAGTCAAAGATTTCTGAATTTTACTGCTTTCTTTCATAGCTATTATTCTTTTTATCTGTGGCTCCATCAAGACAGGAGAAATATGCTCTCTGAGAGGTTCCTCATCTGGGATGAGACTGACAGTCAGCACCATGGCCAACCCTAGGACAAACTGCTAATACTTTCGTGAGTAAAATCACACTACTCTAACAGATTGCAATGAGAGTCCCTAACATCATGAAGTCTACATTTCAAGGATGTGTTTCCAATTTTAAAAAACTGAGCAGAGAATCAGTCTTAAGATAGGGATAATACAGTGGCAATAAGCAAACCTTCCTATGAGCTGGATTTAAAGACAAAGGCAAGCAGTAGATTCTGGATTGCCTGAAGGTTGTATGCACAGTTCGTATTTAACAAGAATATACATAAAATATTGTTTATGGTTTTTATGTTTGAGGTCCCCACACGATCTTCAGGTTCACCAGTTACGCTGTAGTTAGAAAGTGTAATGGGCACCTGCAGGAATTGTTCCTTTAATAAGTGTAGCCTTTATGTTGGCAATATATCTATAACTCTATCACGTTTTAAGAATCTTGAAAACAATACACATTTGAGGCCTAGTCATGGAAAATATTTACCTTAAAGATTAAGAAAATTTATTTTTTTGATTATCTGCATTACTTAACGAGAAAAAAATGATAAGAAATATTATATGAGATCACCTTAGGAGAAAATACAAACTGGTCAAGTTATTTTGTTAACTGAAATGAATTTTATGGATAAGCAACAACACAGCAAAATAACGTGTATGAATCCTAAAAAGGCAACCAGCAATGAACAGACTCCTAATAAAAAAAAAAAACCCACAGCATTTAATTTACAAGTAAGGATAAATCCTAGGGAGACTGCATGCAAGGAAAAGTGGACTGGATTGGAGGCTCTAACATAGGCTGCGCTGCTTGCCACATGTCTCCTGGGAGACACTGTAAGAAATATAGACAGGAATGACAAAGCCAAAGAGATTACTTCAAATAATTACTTTGATTTGGCTGTTATAAAAATAGAGGATGAAACTGAGATTTTCATCCCAAACCTTAACTCTGCAGACGCTTCTGTGGAGACATAAGCTTACACAGATGCACATCTCTCTCCTCCCTGTGGTACCAGCACCTTGAGTGGGAAGTGTAATTGGGTTAGCACAAGTCACTATTTCTTGATTGATTTTAGCAGAGAAGAATGGAGTTCAAAATGTAAGTAGGAAAGAAGAACAAAGAGATGATATTGCTTCTAAGTAAGCACGAGATAAGCACCAGTATTAAGCCCAACTACGCAAAACTTAAACAAAATAATGGAAGGGGTTGGTGAGCTTATTAATAAAGAGTAACTGAAACTCTGAGTTGGAGTGAATTATTCACAGTAAATCAAATAAGAGGAAATTTGGGGATTTAGGAAACTGTAAAGAAGTATATTAGATATTAGAAGGTGAAACAAATGATAAATCAAAAGCAGAAACAGAATAAACCTTTCTTTAGACACATGTAATTTGGAAGGGCAATGTTAGCTTTACGGCAGTAATGTACATAGCATTTGTTCAAAGTTAAGTATGAAATGCCAAGCTCATGAGTTGCTTGGACCTGAAACAACTTGAAAACTTCCTGAAGTTTTCCCAGAATGTGCACTTAAAACTTTTCTAAAGGGGAAATTCTCAGATTTAATTTCTGTATCTGTGACTGAAATTTTCTATATTTTAAAAATAATATAATACCAATAATTATTCATATATAATGAATACTAAATGACTGTTGTATCTAGGCACTATACTGTCTTATAAAGTTACTATGCTTAGTTTTCCCGACTGGATTTTTTACAGGAAACTTAGAAAATTAGATACAGAAATAAAAGATCATAATAGCTAAAAATGTTCAGGATTTATACATGGTAACATACTAGGTTTTTCAAATCATAAATAGTAGATTCAAATATCACTACCACATTGCACTCAAAATACAGCTCCATATTTATGAAGGCAATAAATGAGTTATATTACTTACAATTTATTAAGTCATGTGTCTAATTTAAAAGTATTCATATAAACATTGAATTTCTTCCCTTATCAAATAAAGACCCTCAGTTTGATATGGGTATCAAATATTTGGCCAGTATTGGAAATTAAAAACTGTTTTTATTAATAACAATGTAGAAGTGTAAAGTATTACCATGTTTGATAAGCTAAGAACTGTGACTTAAATATCATATATGATTGTAAGGACCCTAAAATTATCTCATTACCTACATATTGAAATTATTCAGATTGTTCATTGTAAATTTAGGGTTTCATTAGCATATATTTAATTATCTCTCTTCCAATCCTAAAAAGAGCAAAATATTTCATGTTGGTTTCTGTCTTTTTAAAACACAGTTGATGATATAAAGAAATTAAAAAAGGAAAAGGGAGTGATACACATATAAAATAGTTAATCATTAATAAAAGCACATTTAAACAATACTCTATTTACTATTACAATTTAGCAAATTAAAAAATAGTATGACTTTGACAATATGGACACTAACTTTCAAATGCAATATTGTCTTTAACCAAAAGTTTTGGTAAGAGAAAATTCACTGCACCAAAGACCTCAATAGCAATAATACTAAACTGTCTACAGGAAGTAGCTTGAAAGCCAGATAACAGGAAACTGATTATGTTGTGATGAATGAATAAAATGGAATGTCATATTGTCATTAAAATGGTTATTTTCCATTCTAGATGTAGCCAATTTTGGTCTGGATGCTTTAGAGATCATGCTGGGTTAGCAAGCAGTGTAAAATGGACATTTCCAAATAAATACAAATGTCTACATGAAACCTAAATTTTGTGAGACACTGAATGGACACTAAGAGTAAAGGACAAAGCAAGCTTGGTTCACTCACAGTGACTTTGTCCTTTGTCTGTTTAAGTGCACTGGGAGCCTGGGCGGATTCACCACTTGCTGCTGTTGAAAAGAAATAAATAAATTAGTGACCGAAACTCACATAAGTGTGTTTCCCAATTCCTGGGTGTTCTGTTATGTCACGAGACTAAGGCAAAGTACATTTCTTGCTTTTGAGGCTCAAATCCAGTAACCAAAGAAACTTGGGTAACAGTAATACATTATGTGGCTTCAGTTAAGTGTGTGTGAGTTAACAGAGATCAGAGTCTACTGAAGCACACACTCACTTTCTATGGGACACCAAGGTACTTTTGAGTATTTACTCTGTACACATAGAATCTGTAGATCAGAAGGAACAGAACACCAAGGCAGATGCTGCCTGGTGTAAAGGAAAGGAAGCTGGAAAATTGTTTTAGAGTTGGTATGATACAGAAACGCCCAACCCTTCTGTTCTAGAAGCAAGCCCCTGGCTTTTGTACAGGTCCTTTGTATTTTACCTCCCGGGCTGTTATGATCAGCAAACCCCTTTGCCTGTGCCCCTCATCACTTTGGAGTATGATTGACATACTTGCCTGATGTGAAAGTGCACCACAAGAAAGGAAGTTAAACAACTTTGCAGGGACAGAGGATGAGAAACGGCAAGTCCAGTAAATACAGAATGTGTTCTAGGCATGCACTTCCTGTATGACAGCTACCACATCTGTTACTGCTGTTTCTCGATGCTGCTCTTTGCTTCTGGTCTCAGTTTTAAATTCCATTATCTCTAACACATTTTCTGTGGACAACTTACCTGATTTGACTTTAATATCTCACAACATAAAATCATCATATGTGTTTTGAAAAATAACAGTATTTGACCAGTATCCCCAGAGATAAAATACTCTAGCTTGTATGTTAACTATTTCCTCAATTTTCCTTGGTAAAGAAATTTTCAGGAAAAAAAACTATCCTCATAAGCCTCATATGTGTACTACAAAGGGGTCCTATGCTTTGTGAGTTTTTATATCAAGACAATGGCCACCTACAGTGTGCTTTATTCTATGTAGGACTGGCTAGAATAATGTTTCAGATCCTAGCACTGATTTTTTTCTTCAAGAAGCAGTGAAAATGATGTCATTCACAACTTCTATGACATATCCAAAATTCCTACATATATATATACACACATATATGTAGTTTGCTTTAATTCAGCAATATCTAAATTGTGTATAGGCTTCCTGCTGGGGTCTCTTGGTATTCATCTTGGACTAAAATAAGGGGAGACCTAGTTAGTTTCCAAATTCAAACTTCCATTAAAGAATAAGTAAGGAGGGAGGTAGAGTTAATGCCACTGACATGCAGCAGTCACAGCAACTATTTACAAATTATTTTATTTTTCCTCTTCATTTCCACAACTCGGACAGCATTTTTAGCTTTCCAGGTAGAATACAGGATTTCTTAAAGATATTCTATTTCTGTAAATATTTCTCTGAGTCAAATACAATTTCTAAACATTTAACAGAATCAGCTAATTAAGATAGAAGATGTGGAAGTGGTATGTTAACTCCTAACTTTGGAGTGCTCGGTACACTGAGACTTTCTCAAGAGATTTGAATATGGAAGAGCCTTCCAAATTCAAATCCTGGCTTGGGTATTGTTCTTACATAAATCACACCATATGGTTCCTATATGTAGGATGCAAACACACACTACTCGGAACTTCGGTCAAGGCATGGTGTTGCACGCTTGCAATCTAAGCACTGGGAAAACTAAATCAGGAGGATCATGAATTCAAGGCTGATCTGGGCTACGTACAAATACCTTATCTCAAAAACTCCAAGCCCCCAAACCTAAGCCTTAAATATAAATCTAAACAAACAAAAGTACTAGCAACATTTGGTGGTGGTTCTAGAAGATCAATGACTCTGACCTTTTCTCCAGTTAGGCTAGTGATGCCATTCCTAATCTTTAAGGTGACCCATTATATTAATGATGTCATTCCGAATCTTTAAAATCTTTAATATTAAGCCATTTGTAATGTATAATGGAAAGAATATTTCTTCCTGATATTTTGTAGACTATAAGCATATCCAAATAGATACTAAGAAAATTTAAAATTAAGACTATCAGAGCATAATTAGGCATATAAAGTAAATACCCTGCTACTCTACAGTGAAATTTTGAAATAAAACTGCATTGTAGAGAGCTGTGTAGACTTTTACTATGATTTCTTTTAATAACAGATTTTATGTGCATGTGTGTTTTGCCTGCATGTCACTACAACATATGTGTGGCACCCACAGAGGCCAGAAGCTGGGGTTGGATCCTCTGGAACTGGAGTTATAAAAGGTTGTGAACTGCCATGTGGGTTCAGGTCTCTGAAAGAGCAGGGAGAGTTTGTAACAATAAAGCTGTCTCTAAAGCCCCCTTTCAGATGATGTCTACCATGCTTCATCCTTTGTTCTACTTGATTTTTTAAGCTTATAGATGTGTATATTTGGGGGTCACAGAAATGAGCACATGACAAAACAGACTTGTGTCTCCCTTCTCTCTTATACTTGGTGTCTTAATGTAGCCCTGGCTCGAGTCACACTGGAGGTCTACCTGGAGAGCCACCTGACTCTATCTCCCAGGGCTGAGGCTATAGAGACCAAGTTTATTTCTAATTTAATTAACTCTAAAGGGAAGGGAGTTTTAACTTAGTATTCTTCTGCACATTGAATTATAGTGGACCATTTGGCAGTCTGGATTAATAACTTTAAGAAAATCCCAAAGATAGAGTATAGGAGGTTGAAGAATAAAATCTGATAGGATAGACATCATTTCCTTTCTCTCTTCATCTTTTTTTCCATCGAAAGCAAAAAGTCTTGAAAATCAGTATTACTTCAAGAGGTTTTTCATTTCCCATGTCCAAGTCAGTATCCATTGTCTCAGTAAAGTCAACACCAGTAACAGATTTGGCAGTAACAATTGAGAACATAGGACAAATATACATGGACTTAAGCATGGAGGAGATAGATAAGCAAAATAACGAGAATGCATACCACGGTTAAATTCATCGCCATCGTCTAAGCAAACACACAGAATGAAAATAGGGATCCCCAGAACGTGACACTAGAGCACAATGCCAAGATACAATCACGCACTGCTATGTCTGAGCAATGACAAAGAGACAGATGGTCATGACCTCTTCTGCAGGGAAGGAAAAAAAAAAGAATAATGATACAAGACACTTAAATAGCGAAACTGTTCATGATTGCTGAGATTTGGAAGTAAAACAAAATGAAGAAGCTTCTACAGTAATGAGGTTAAAATAAAATACGTCTCTGTTTGCCAGCCACATTGCAGAATTGAACAGTCACCTGTGGTTTTCCGCTTAACACAGGAGAGATGAGTTGGTCTAGTGTATTTGATAGCAGGTTTTAAAATGAGTTTCCTGGAAGGAGAGTGGGCCTGAACTTCTGTTTTTTTAGCAAGTTCAGCCTTCTTATAAACTGCTATGAACAAGAAAACACAAAACAGCATACCATCAGGAAAGAAAATAAACACTTGGAATAAAAATGAACAAATTTTTTCATAAGTAAGGCTTTTTCAGTAGAGTAATAGGAAATTAATAAAAAAAAACACATTTTAAAAGAAGTGATTGTTAAATGAACCTTTTTTCCTTCTCACTTCATCCCTGGAGACCGTGCTAGGTTCCTTTTTAGCTACTTTTCTTTCAGGAGTGGGAATTCTGCCTCTCCCGGTTTTAAAGGGTTTCTCTTTTCTATGTTTTTCAAGAGATGGTCTCCGAGCTTCCTTCTCAGCTTTCTCCTCTTTAGGGATAGTTTCTAACTGTTCCTGTATGATGCTTCTATCATCATCTGTGGAGCAAAGCAAACCATGGTAACAACAGTGAGAGCATTAGTGACAGATGCAGAAAAGCCGTCATATACTTAACATATTGTCATGTAAATAGAGACCCTTCTTTTTTTTTTTAAATCTTAACCAAATTCCCCACTAGGCTATGGGCTTTATTTGGGAGAAGATTGAAAAAAGAAGCACACCTTGAGTGTCCACCCACAGGCTGTCAGCATCCATGATGGAGTCATCAATGGTGGTCTCGTCTTTGTAATCATCGTAGGTTTCTGTTTTATATTCTGAGTATGCAACCTCTTCTCTCTCAGGAGTAGCTGGGGCATCGGGAGAGCCATCCTTGGGTTCTGCCTGGGCTTCTGCTGCCATCTCTACTTCAAGCTCTTCATCGTGAGGGCACGGTCTCCTTTCCTCCTCAGGCTGAGCTAGAGCTGCAAAGCGCACACTATGGGACCCTGACTCGCCTTCATTGGTTGTGGTCTGCACTACAGTGATGAAGTCATCCTCGATGGTCACTACAGACTCAATCCCACCTTTGTGTTCACCTGGGCAGGTCTCCACAAATTCCTCTCTACTTCCTGGGACAACCAGGTCAGTAATCTGAAGTGTGTCTGAGCGGAAGAGCAGTTTGTCATACTCTCCCCCGGCTTCTATCTCTTCCTCACTTGGGACCTCTGCTGGTTCAGGCACACCTGCTTCAGGCTGTGGCTGGGTGACATCAGAAGGTATGGCGGGTATATCTGGAGTCTCAGTGCTTTCTTCCTTTGGCAGCTGAATAAATTCCATTTGAACCTCAGCTTTCTCATCTGTGGATAAGTCAGCCTCCGAAACAGGAGGTGGGCAAGGGATTTCCACAGACAGTTTGCGGGCAACCTCATCTTGAATCAGAGATGACTCTGGAGAGGTTTCCTTCTTGCCCTCATCCGGCTTCAGGGACTCCATCGTGAGGCTCTCATGCTCACCGCTAGACTCATAGGACTCTTCTTTGTCTACAGCCTCCTGATGCACCAGGTCAGGCTTTGCTACCTTCTCTTTGACTTCTGTTTCACTGACTTTGAGACCTTCTTTCATGTGGCCAGACTCAATACCCAGGAATGAATCATCTTCTTGAGGTCCTTTGGATGAGAGGGTCAGTTCCTGAGAAACCTCGAACTTGAGCTCTGTGGCATCTACATTCATCCCTGAAGCCATCTGTCCAAAGTCACTGACTTTTATATCTAACGGACTTGGCTCAGCTTTCGTTGCAGCAAAATCTAGCCCCTGATCGGCTTTTGCGGTTGGTTCCACCTCAGCCACCTCCGGCAGTGAACTGAGACCTTTTGCTGCTTTCTCTGGTGACGTGTCTTCAGCTGTTGTCAGTTCTTTGGCAGAGGCTTCATCATAGGTTACACCTAACCCAAAGATCTCCACTTTCTCACCAGCCTCTTCAGCCTCCTTTGATTCAACATGCTCTTCACTCTTTTCAAGGACAGTATCCAGTTTGTCACTAGTTTTCCTGTCATGGTCAACCTCCCGACTCAGTCCTGATTTGTCAGCAGAAGTGGGTGGAGATGCCTCTTTCTCAGCAGTGGACTCATCTTTGACTCTTCCTGCAGCTGCAAGTTTTACTTCAATCAGTGAAAGGTCTGTCGCCAAATCTCTACGGACTTTGTCATCAGTTCCTTCATAAAATGAGCCACTCTCTCCCGACAAATTCTCACTGTCTTGAACTGGTGATGGTAGAGGAACTGTGTATTTATTGAACACACAGTATCCCATGTCTTCAAGTTGACTGTCAGGTTTTCCAGTGACTTGGTTTTCATCAGCGACAGGTGGCAAAGCAGTACTACTCTCTGCAATCATAGCCTCTGATGGGACTGATTTTCTCCTGGCAACCTCAGCATCTGCACTCACAGAAGCTAACCTGGACCTGGTTCCTGCCAGATCTAGCATCTCAGGCAGGTCAGGGGCCATGACGGTACCATTTTTGTAATATTCTTTGGCTGGGAAGGGCGACTCAGAGGATGTCTCAATCTGAATAATTTGTTCTCCAGTCGCTTTTACTTCCTCTGCCTTCTCGCCTTCCTCTTTGCTCTCTACTGGGAAGCAAGGGACCTTCTCCACTGCAGGTGTGGTAGGGGGAAGGTAATCATCTCCTTCATCCATGCTTCCGCTCGTGTTAGTTAAAATATCAGAAGCCAGAGGGGAAAGATCATGGCCCCGGCCAAAGTTAAACCCAAGGGCGATGGAATCGAGGCAAGACATAGGCAAGTTGATGGACATGCTTCTTTGTTCTATTGCAGACCGTCCACCAAGCCCTAAACTTCGACTAAGGGTCAAATCATCCTTGTTCTTACTGTGAAGGTCCCTTTTCTCCCCATAAACTTTTGGGTCAATAGTGAACATCCTTTCTTGAGGAGAACTTGGTTCTTCAGGTAGCTCAGATGGATAACTCTGGGCAAGAGTGCTGTATCCTGCTTCCTCTGGTGGAGCACTGGGCTGGGATTCTTTTGCCTGAAGTTCCTTTTCATCACGCTGGTCCTTGGGAGGTACAGTGTCAAAAGATTCCTGGGCACTTCCTCTTGCATCACTCAGCTCATAGTAATCACTGCCCAACTGCTTGCTTTTTGCCACTTCTTCCTTCAATGCAGATGTTTCAAAGTATTTGGACATTCCCGATTTATCTTCATAAAATGGCACGCCAACCTCAGCTATTGTTGCAGACCCAACTCCTTCAAACTTATCTTTGACAGCCATGTTCTCCTCAAAAAGTCCCTGGGTTTCTCTCATTTCACTCACTGCCTCTGGCTCAGATGTCACTTTTTCCAAGGTCTCAGAGGTCATGGCTGGAACTGAAAGAGCTTGTTCCAGACTTAGAGGGAAGGAGTCCTGTTTTAACTCATCGGTTACATGTTCTCGGTCTTTCTGTTCTTTGGAGGAAGAAAGCTCGGTGGAGGTCTGAATTACACCTGTTTCATCGTCTCTCAATTTGGGGGGTTCATGTTCTTTCGCCACAGCTTCTTCAATGGAAACCACTAATTTCTCGTCAAGCTTTGTGTATGGTTCATCTTCGGTGAGTGTAAGTTCCTGACCACTGGGGATTGAAGTTTCTTTTATCTCTTGATTTGTGGTACCCTTTTCTTCCCCTGAAACACTTTCCCTGATATCGCCTTCCCCAACTGGACCGAGAGCATCTTTCGGTAGGGTGGCAGCTTCTGAGACTGGAACATCTGCCTTGTCTGCTTTATCTTTCTGTGGCTCCTCATCTCTAGAACTATCTTTGGCAGTAGCTAGGCCACTGGTGTCTGGCAGGGACGTTTTGTCATCTGGTTGGAAGAAGACAGGAGCCAAGGGTTGTGGTACTTCTGAGATTCCTTCACTCTTTATAATATCTAGAGGAAGAGTGAAACTTCCACCATGAAAGGGACTTGGCATGGGCGAATCAAACTGCTTCCCTTCCCATCTTGGAATATCCTCCAGCATGTCTTTTTCCCGCATGGGTGTCAGAGGGCCAGGAGATATTGGGGCAGCTAAACCCCATTCATCTTTCTTTGATTCCATTGGCATTTCAATGAACCAGTCCTTCTGCTCTTTTGGAGCTAGAGGCTCTGCAGACAGGCCGATGCTAGGTACTGCTATGCTTGGTTCTACGTTCTGTTTTATGTCTTCCAGGTTGGTACCAAAAGTGTGCGCAAATGGGACGGGAGGTGACTTTTCCCCTTCCATGTCTTGAACATCCTTTTTATCCTGGGGAGTTTTAGTTATCTCTTGCTGAGGAACTAAGGCAGCATGCTTAAAATCTTCACCAGGCTTACTCTGCATCTCCGATTCCTTTTCTCCCTTGTCTAAAGGCTCAGCGAAAGAGGAAGCCAATTTCTGCGGCTCAGGGAATTCCATCTTCGAGGCTGTAAGTAAATCTGAAGTAATTGGGTTGGTTTTTAAGCAAACAATAGGCAACAGCTTTTGGGCAGTAAGCTTAAAATCACACTTACAAATAGGAGATGAATGAGCGGGTCAAGGGGAAGCTATGGACCATGCAAGCATGCTGCCCACTGAAGGATGAACATGGAATGTCAGGACTAGAATTTGTGTGTACTAGTACTGAGTGAAGTCCTCTTCTAAATCAATTGTACACACATTATAAGAAGAGTTGGCCTCAGACTACTTATCCTTTTTGTCTATTTGGTCTCTTCTATACACCATACGGTGCATGTTAGAAGGAAAAAGGAAAGTCTTCAATCTGTTGATTGAGGTGGAATGAATCCACATCAAGGAACTAGATAACATGGTACAAGAACATGTACATGGAGGATATTTCCTGAGTATTTCAAATGTTCTCATTTGAAAATGAACTGGCAGGTCCTGGGACACATGCCAAGAAGCAAATAATGATTCAAGTATTAGCAGTTTCAGGTAACTTGATGAAAAACTGTGAGGACCCATATGGGGATACTGAAAGTTATTGGCAAAAGGTTTTAGAAAATAGCTGAGGTTAAAGTAAACATTTGATGTCAAATTTTACATACATGACCTAAGAACTGATGAGGCAGCTTTTACTTAATCTAAATTTTTTTTTCTCTCTCATTAAACTTGTTTTAATGGGTCTCAAAATTCTGTGACAGATTTTTGGTCAAGTTGTTTCCATTAAAAAGTACTGATTTTGAAAACTAATAACTTAAAACTGCCACACACACAAAAAAAAGGTCCACAAAACATTCTCCTTTCCTTCTGAAGGTTTTACGATCATTGTTATCATTAACCAGTCTTTCACTATTAAACTTAAATGGCCAAAACTTGCAGTCATGGTTTCTGAATTATAACAATGGGAAGAGCAAGACATTTTGCAAAAAAGTCAATTACTACAATGTCTTCCTCCCCAGGGTCCTGACGTCATTGCCTGGACATGGCCAGCTAGCAACACATTGGCTCTTGTTGGCCTTGGAAATACTTGACATCAAACAAGTGACATGGTCTCGGTTTTATTTACACGCCAATCTAAGTGTCTCTTTTAAACTATTTCCTGTGGTCACCAGCACTTAGCTCAGTGATTTGAAAAGGATCTGGTGGTGACTCATAAAAATTCAGCCATCTCCTGAAGATGGGGCATCGTGACCTGCTAGGACTGTGGGTGCTGTTGTAATGAGAGCAATGAAGTAGTTAAAACCTGTAATGAAATCTAGATGAATGAGAACTCAAACAATACAGGCATGATCCGGGGTGCGCTGCCCCCCCCCAGAGACAATGACAAGGGGAGCACCGACAGGTGTTGAAGGAAAACGAAATCAGCAGCATTTGTCGAAGCATAAAAACAGCTCTCTGCGCTGCAAACAAAAGCGATTGTATCACTTAAGCCTGTACGTGCTAAAATCCAGCTCCAGGGTTTGAAAAATAAGCGTATGAATTGCTGTCCCAAAACATAAAAACAAAAATATACATGTATTAGCAATGTGACTGGCAAACACGGGCGATGAGGAGGGAGGGGGTAAACCAAGGAAGAGTTCACACAGCATTTTCAGCCTGCGGCAAAGCGGATTGTATCATGGCAAAGGACAACCAGCTGCAGCAGGGGACAACCAAGCTCTCACAGCATCTGCGCAAGCCACAGTCTCTGCTCACAAAGCCTGAAATGGTGTCTTATGACCATGAGAAGACCCAGCGGTGGACCGGCGTTGGAAAGGCATTCGCTTGGTGAAAACCACGGCAACACATTTGCGGCACGCATGCAAATCCTGACAGACACACACCTTCCTTGATAGAGGAAGGAATTTTTACGTCCGAAGCCACCTCCGTGACCTCTTTTACACTTTTCTCATGTGGAGCCCCTGCCAGGGCACTGTCTTCTGGAACTATCTGCGCCTCTGCGCTAGATTCCGCTTGGCCCTCACTGAGGCCCTGGGGGTAGTCTGAGGTCTTAGCAGCCCCATGCTCTTTCCCAGGAAGGGCAGCAGGTTTCATGTCCTCAGCCATCACACCCTTTAGCGTTTCGTCTTTTTGGGGATGGAAAAGATGTTGACATCATGACCACAGAACAATACACGAAAGGACAGAAATATTATTCATGGAACACTTTCAGCTCCATTTGCATGACCTCTCTGGGGGCATCAGGTATGCTTTCCTTTTCCGTCTGAGCAAATTAATAACCGAATGACAGACACATTGTGTACACAATGGAAATTTGGGATGTATAATATGCTGATAGAAATGACTTTGAAAACTAATTAAAAGACTGTGCTATTCATTTTAAAAATTGAGAGCTGAAAGGGTTTTATGGCTTGATCACCGTCGTGGGAATGCCAGCAAGATGAGCACAGGGGGAAGGCTTGTTGGAAATTAGAGATGGTGTCGCCCCAGCAGATGGAGAGAAGACAGATGTACCGGTGCGTGGAAAACAAGCTTCCCAGTTGGCTAGACACGTGTTTTCTCCAATGCAGGAAGTCCCTACACAAGAATCCCTGACTGCATTATTTAAAATGTGGAATCTTTCAAAGACAATTTTAGGAATAAAATAGCCTTAGCCTCAAAGTGTTACCTACTCAATGTTTCATCAAAAAGTCCATCAGAGTACTCTAAATACAGTGCTTCTAAGAAACGGCTATAAAGGTCAATTTTTAATGCTGCCGTTGAATTATTTGATACTCAAGGAAAAGAAAGAGAAAGTAAAATACTTTTTAACTTGAAAATTTGATCATTTCCCCCTTGAATACAACTGTTTTCACGCTAGTTAGTCAATAATAATTCATATATAGTTCTTTCTGACAGAAAGAAAAAGTGTCTGTATTACCAATATCATCTTACAGTGCAATTCAAAATAAAATCACTAAAAAGAGGTGATGGAGTGGCACTCAGACTCCCAAAAATAACTCCTCCCTAAGGTATAAATGGAAATAATGTCAGCCTTTAAATGCAAATATTAAGCTTCTGACGGCCACAAATTATTTTTTCATTTGATTTCATTTACATTTCAAATATCCACAAAAACAAATGAATCCATTTTACCCTTCAATAAATGAAAGGAAACCACATTAGTTGTTTTGAAGTCTGCAGTGGGAAGATTCTTATGATAGTCCCATAAAACAATTAGACATTGTGCAAAAGGCCTTGTGGGAAAGACTACATATGGAAAGGGAAGAAATTTTCTTTTTTAAGAAATATTAACACCCTGGAGGGTGGTAGAACTCCCTCATCTATCTTTCCACATTTACCATGCAGACATTTTTGTGTCTGTAATTTAATTTTGTAATGGATATTTAAAAATTTTTCTATTCTGTTTTATTATTGGAATTTTTTTATAATGCATACATTTTCATTCTAGTTAAAGAACTTTAGGCGTATCCAACTTCACCAGGGCCAGCTTATCAGATGAAGTCTAACCAAGTTAATTTATTAATTTTTAGATTCACATAATGTTTTGACCTTAGATTTTTAAATTTTGAATCAGGTATGCTTGTGCCCCTGTACCTATCCCTTAATTAAAAATCTCCCAATAATTTCAGTCACTTTCAGTTTGCACTGTTAAAGTACTGGGCTTCATTTAATGCTGGGCGTGCTTCCTAGGGTGCCAGAGCTGTTGGAGCTCTTTGGTTTTCAATATGACTTGGGAAAACCTCACTATCATGCCTGTGCCTGGCAATGTGCCAGCTGATTTTTCTCCTTGGGACTGTCTGTCTCTCATGAAAATGAGTTCTTCTGCATGCATCATGTCATTGTCCTCACCCGGAAATACTTATGTCCAAGAAAAATATTTTAGTGGTATTTTCTTCTTTACAAAAAAAAAATCCCTAGTTAAAAATGAGACAAGTGGAGCCCATACCCCCCGAATTTCATGCCCATGATCAGAAGCCACACATAGGCAGCTCAGCTGTATGGGACCAAGGCCCTGAGTCCCAGCCTTCATTTTAGAGCAGCTCTGCTAAGGTGAGTTGAGAACAGCCACCGAAGAAACCCCCAATTTCTTACTTATTGACATGTAGTCATACATTTTCATCGCGTAACATTTATTCTGCTCAAAGTGGATCTTTATTCTTTATTTTTAAAGAACAAGCTATAAATATAAGGTGACCTCTATTTAAGACTGGTCCTAATAATAGTCCATATCTCAGGAGGAAAATAAACATTGGGGTCATCTTCTTCAGTTCAGGTAAATAACGTGTTCTTACTGAATAATTTATTTACAAGGAACAAAAAGGAGTAATACTTTAATTGAATTGCTTCTTCTTCCTTTTTCTTCTCCCTTTCCACTTCATAGGAGCAATAATATAAAGAAAGAAAAAGGGAAATGCTTCTTCGTTTAATGTAACTCACTTCTTTCATATAAATTTGAGGCATCTCAGTGGACAACTCCGTATCTGGGGACTTCACTTTCATGTGGACAAAACAAGCTTGTGCCCACCCACCACCCACACCAAAGCACACTGAACATGATGTGTGTGCACAGAGCTGCAGGCTGGGAGGAGGAGCAAAAGGGCACCATGCTCCTGTTCACCTTTCTCCTGGCCTAAGTGGCCCTCTGCGCTCTGTGCTGTGACACGGGGGAGCACACTAGTCCACTCTGAGCTGAACAAAGGGTGCTCATAGTACTCCTCATCCGAATTGTAAGGGTCCTCATCGGGCACAGACACCGAGATGGAGGGGGCTAGGAGCCCACGCCTCTCCCCGCGGCTGGCAGGTTCATGGCTGGGGAACCTGTGCAGAGGACCCACTCGATCCTCAGCCCCTTCATCTATAAACAGACACACAGGAAGAAACTGCAGGGAGAACTGGACAAGACAGACATGAGATCAGACAGACGAGACAGACACCCACAGGAGGACATGAAGGGTCACCCAAGCAGCGCCGCAGGATGGAAGGGGCTGAGACAAACTGAGCTGATGGAGGATGGAGGCAGTGGATGGCGCATGCTTTTCTGGGTCCTTAGCTAAGACTATTATTTAGGGGAATTTACCATTGATCTAAAAGAATAAAACACATTGACAGCCCTGCTGTGAAATAGAAATTAGCCATGCATCCTTCTCCAGTAATTCAGAATAACCAAGGAAACATTCGAACAGAAACAGATCATCACAAAACAAATGCATTCTTTCAAAGACATTTCTTCCTGAAGGTGGATTCATACGTTAACACAGTCAGAAATTAAGAAAGAGAAACGTTGCCAGGGTACCATGTCTGCTCAATTGTGGGGGAGAAAAGTTCCCTGTTTGAACTGTGAGGATCTGTTCTGCAGCAGAGACTAGACGGTAGCTCTGGACTTGGGATTGGTCCTTGTCAGTCACATGTTCTCCAGTGACTCTTGGACATCAAGCATGCAAACTAATAAGATGTTTAACTTGTTCAACTGATTTCATGCATTGTCAAATAAGGAAAAAATGAGTTATGTATTTCTCTGCTTTTCTGCATTTGTTTTCTGGGAAGGAGAAGATTACAACACAAAGGGAGCAGTGGGAGCTAAGAGCTGGTGGTGAGGAGGTGCTAGGTACTCGGTGATGTTTCAGTCTTCTGGAGCATTCGACCTTCTAAAAACAGCTCACAGATCTATAACATCTCACAAGAGGTGGTGTTTTTATATTCTGAAAACTTTTGGTCTAGTCCCAGCATGGCGGAACCATTTGTGGGACCTTTAGTTGCCAAAGCAGAATGGCCATTTCTCCTTAGACCTTGTCTCTTCGCTCAAAAGGGATAGCTGACCAAGACCAGGCCTCTCCCAGGACTGTGTGTTCCAAGAACTTCAATTTCTTTCAGAAATTGTGAGTAAAGGCTGTCTGGGATGCAAGCCTCAGAGATAAACCAGAACATTGTATATGTGTGTGTGTATATGTGTGTGTGTATATGTGTATGTATGTGTGTGAGTCTGAGCAGTGCAGAGTCCCCAGGGGGGAAGACAGAGGCGTTAGAGTCTCGTTTGTTGCAGAGATGAGATGCACATGATGGAGGCTTTGGTGACCACCCATTGGGGTGGGGAAGTGATACAAAATAAATAAACAAATAAATAAGGAATGGAGTATGTATTTGGGAGACATTTTATAAAAATCCACATAAGAATGGTAGCTTGTACCAGACTCCTGTTTAAAGATAATTGACTTGCACAATTGTATAGTACCAACCCTGAGAACTTTAGCTTTAGGGAAGTATGGAATTCTGAGTTGGAAGACTCAGATTTAGATGTAAATTCTAGCTGAGTCATTTATCCAGAGCTAAACAATGATATCCCTGACAAAAACGTGTAAATTTCTATCTCTGTGGGTTGCTGGATGAAATAAATGGTAAGAGATTGGTAAAACTGCCAACGTAATGTGTAGCTATTTAAAATTATCCTTCGTGTGTATTCTCATGGCATGCATGCATGCACATACACAAATGCCTACAGGTGCAATGTACACTATGCCATACACGTGAAGGTCATGGGACAGCTTGGTTCTCTCCTTCCACAACATGGGTCTTTGGGGTCAGACTCAGGTTGTCAGGTTTGGGGGCAAGTGCCCTTTTCCAGATGAACCTGTGTGTAACTACATATATGTTAGCATGGTGTCTTCCATTTGCTCAGCTTTAAGCTTCTTTACCTTAACTTGGCAGTTGGATTTAAAGTTGATAAACTTAGGGAAAATGTGAATTTACTTTATAAGCTACTTTCATGGCTTTGTTCATCATTTACTATAAGTTAATGTAATTTGGGAACTGTTTTTTAAAAAATATTTTTATGGTTTATTTAACTTTATTTTATGTGCATTGGTGTGAATGTGTCAGATCCCCTGCAACTGGATCTTCAGACAGTTGTGAGCTGCCATGTGGGTGCTGGGAATTGAACCTGGGTCCTCTGGAAGAGCAGTCAGTGCTCTTAAACACTGAGCCATATCTCCAGCGCCTTGGGAACAGTTTTTAATCACATAATAATCTACTTCATTTAACAAGTGACGTTCAAAAGGATAGAAAGATGACCTTGAGAACCTTGGCCTTTTTACATAGCTCTTCCTCATAATTGCAGACTTCAGAAATGAGTTTTAGCTGATTCTGACTGAGGAATATTTTCCTTCTAGTTTGTGTTTACTTAAACTTTTTATTAACACATCTAAAATTTTATATTGGGCAAAAGGAAGATTTGTCCTTCCAAACTCAGCCTTGATTGATCAGACCTTTTTGGAACAAATCTGTAGTCATGTTTTTGAGAATCTAGCGCTCATGGGCTACCAAGGACTGATTATTGCTGTTGTCTCATGGCACAGAGTAGAAGGCAGCTGACCCCACACACAGCGTTCCCTACCATCTTTCTCCAATTTGCCAGCTTCTGGCCAAAGAGTCCTCCGTGTCCTGGTGGGACTGCCACCCACAAATGACATGGAGAGAAGCTACTTTCAGATAACAGCAAGTCTGCTGCCGTCTCCATGACACTGGAAAGTATCACCCCAGAATTCTGGATTAACTGCACAAGGCAGAAGGACCTTAGGTCTAGAGTATTCTCTTGGATTTTCACAGTCTTCCATATTCTGACAGCTCAGTCTGGATGAGCTGCTATGACTAACAAGAAAGAGGAAAGGAGGTGGGGACACATTGTAGCTAACAGAACCCTCTAGAGCAGCGCCATGATTTGCTTCCTATGAGAGCTACTTGTTAATTTTTTTCAATAAAATCTCTATTAGGTATTTCCCCAAATAAGGACACATACTGAGCTATGAGATATACTAATATTACATAATTACAGTAAATGGATGTTTTTAAAGTGATGAATGTCAAATTATTTTCAATGGAAGCGTTCCCCTTTTAAATGCCTGTTAATTAAGAAGCAAGAGTCCCCAGAGCCACTATTTAGTCAATTTAAATCAAAGTGCTCTCTTCCATTTGTATAAAAGGATCAGGTTGTGACTGTCCCTGTGCCCTCAAAGATGCTGGAGAGTTTGTGTCCTGGAGGGGAAAGACTCTCTTAGACAATGAATGAAGCCTGCCTGCTATCAGTAATCCACCACGCTGGGTCTTTAGCAACTCATTGAAAACTTAAGGAACCAAACAGTTCCTTCTTTTCTTGTAGCTTGTCACTCACTAGCTTGTTTTCTTAATTTAACTTTTTTTTTAAAATCTGTTATTTGTTGAACATTAATTTTATTGGGGTTTGAGATAAAGAATCAATAGAACTTTGCCTTGATCCTTTCACGCATTAAAGATGAGATTATCATCTGATTTAAATGAATTATGTTGGGTTTATAAAATATAGGCATATCTTTTCACATAACTTAAAAGACAGTGATCTATCTCTTTATGTATCTTAATGTCTCTTTTGAAAAAGAAATAAATGGAAAACACAAAGTAAGGTTTGAAATATAACTGAATGATTTGGAATGAGAAGGGAGGAGCATCTTCCCTGAATATACTGGAGCAATGTGAGGAAGGCAATTCCTTACATTCTGATGTGAAACTGAAGCCATGTCTGATTTATTCATATTCTCACTGTGTGTGAAGTGTTTTCTGTAAGGAAGAGACCAAGTGGATCCCCGGACAGATAGGAGGAATCTCTGTGATTTTCTGCCACTATTCCCACTGAGGAAGAGGAGTCAATAACCCGACCTCAAGCAGACTTTTGGAGTGGGTTAGCTCTGTGAACATCGTAGCCCTTTCTGGGTTAAGAGGTTTCTTGGGCACTCTAATGGTTTTAAAAGGGAGTTCAGACACACTGAGAGAAATACAACTGTCATGCGCAGCTTCCTACTGCATCTCCAGTAGACAATGAGTGAAATCCAGGCCCTTGGCCCCAGCAAGTTAGTTGCGACACTCTATTTCTTAATCCTTTCCCCCTTTCTCACTACTTGTTAGCCATGGCTCCCTGTCCTAGAACACAGCATCTTTGCATCTACTTGTGTGCGTTTGTGCATCCTGTTTCCTCTGCCCCACAGTTTTCACCCGTGATCTACCAATATTTCCTCTCATTTTGGAACTAGAAATACAAGAAAAGAAGGATCCCTTTTCTCTGTCCAGAGGCTGCTGTCCTTACCCTTCCTGGACGTAATCCACTTGAATTATTTGTAAGCTTATTTATTGCATTCTTTTTCACCCTGCAGTTTGTTCTTTGAAAGGAAGGATTATGTATGTTTTGTTCTCAAGCATTTGCTTGGAATTCAAAGTGTTTCTGGGACACTGTAGGTGCTCAATAAATATGGCCCAGATGACAGGAAAAGCGTAAGTCAGTCCAAACAGAATCTTTCAGATGTATAAAGGGTACTGTAAATGACATTTAAGGAGATTAACTAATAGCAAATTGCTGCTATACACTAATTACAGTTGCCATTTTCTTTTCACAGAAATGATTTTTGCTTGTTTTCTGTTATTTCAGGTATCAGATTAGAAGGGGGTTGGTTTAATTATGAAAAAGCTTACCACAAAGAAGAGGTGTTGCTTAAAAATCTGGGACTAAAAAAAAACTGCCTCAGAGCTAACAGCATGTAGTCGAGTAATTTAGTTTTCTGTATTTAGGAAAAATGGAAATGAATCAGTTTATGAATTATAACATGATAAGTGTTTAGCGATGATGTTATTTATCTTTTACATGGCAAATGATCTCTGAAGTGACAACGTGAGGAAAAGCAAATGAAAGAGAAAATGAATCAAATGGCCTTAGGGCATGCAAACTGTTGTTCCTTTTCCAAAGATCAGCCAGCCTTTGCGTACACTCGGAGTCTCGGACCGAGTTTCCGTTGAAACAGTGTGATCTAGTGCCTCTCATCTCACATGCTGAATGAATGCTCTCAAAGCATGCCTCTGTTTTGTCAATGAGAACTGAAATGCTGACGTGGTGTTCCGTGTGAAGCAAGTTCATAAATGTATTCATGGACGGTAGTAGGTCTCAGTGGGGAAGCATCCATGGCTTCTAGTTCACTGCTCTCTGCATCTGTTCATTCATTAACTTCCTGGTTTATTCATTAATTTTTGGTGAGATTTTGCTATGGGGCAGGCCCTGGGGGCAGTCTTGGCAATATAACCGTGAGTAAAGCACACAATTTCTGGCACATCCCTAAGAAAGTACTGACTCCTGCTGTCTTGGGATTGTATTTGTTATTTCTTTTCAGCTGTAAAAGGATTGTTATTTCGGTTCAACATCTCCACATTAAGCGAACTGCTTATAGTTATTCCAGCAACTTGAACACGGAGTTTTCACGTAGTCGATTTTCCTTTTATATAATATTGACCATATTCTTAATTTTATATAAAACACGGATTCTATTTTTATTTTTGGGCTTATTTTCTTCTTGACGCTCTGAGTTCACACCAGCCCTGTCTGCGCTACCTGGCACTGGTGTCCCTGGCTGTGGACTGGAGTTTATTGTTTACCCTGTTGGACAGCCTCAACCCTAGAAGGTCAAGAACGTACCTTCCTCCACTGCAACTGCCTGTTCTGAGGCTGGCGACGGTGGTGGGGAAGGTGGCAGATGAGCTGTTTCCTCAGCTGCTGCAGATCAAACACAGAGAAGTGAGACAGACCGGTTAATTCTCTCAGTCCTGTGGTCCTCCAACCTGCAAACAGACTCCTAAGAAGCTCTTATCTTTACCTGATTTACCTGTTGACAACTTAGAAGATTAACATTCCGTATTTATAAAAAGCCTTTTCTGCATAAAAATGAGTTGGAAACAAATGAAAGAAAATTCTATTTTATTTCTAAATAATAATAATAAAAAAAAAGCCGGGAGGTGGTGGCGCACGCCTTTAATCCCAGCAGAGGCAGAGGCAGGCGGATCTCTGTGAGTTCGAGGCCAGCCTGGTCTACAAGAGCGAGTTCCAGGACAGGAACCAAAAAGCTACAGAGAAACCCTGTCTCAAAAAACCAAAAAAAGAAAAAAATCCAAGTTAAATTTGTAACTTCATTTAGCCCTGAGATACTACATTATAATACACCCAGGCAAGCATTTTGTTTGGGATTAGAATTGTCTAATCAAAAACAACAAACTTTTGAATGTTCTGCAAAGTCTATAAACATAGACTATCTTGATCATTCATAGTCACGTTGATAAACATTTTAAATGAGCCACCACCTCTGACTTCCTCCTAGACACTTACCTTCCACGTGAGCTTTCTATGCAGGGATGCAGGGAAGGAGCTTCAAAGGCAATATTTCTCAATGAATGCTAGTGGCTGGTCTATTCCATACATTACATGAACTCAAGTTTTATGATATAGTTGTACCTTAGAGGTGGCTTTGTGACATCAGGTGTTTAGCTCCTAACTCTGAGATTTGTGCCATGTATTTTTAAGATTTAAAATTTTAAAACTTGAATTTTATTTCAAAGAAACAAAGAACTGGAGTGTATGATAGATTAAAGGTTAACATTTTAAATTAGGTATTTTTTTTCCAATTCTGTTCATGAGAAAGAAAGCCCTTGATATCAAAACACTCAGAATGATACATGTTGACTATATTCTAAACTCTTAATCTGGAAAAGGAAAATATTCTTATTCTTGATTTTTAGTAGACATTTCAAGGATTCTTAATCAGGAAAAAATATTAAGGATACACTGAGCTATAAAATAGGAAAAAAATTTAGGATTTAGAAGCCATGCCTTTTGGCAGATTGAGTATATGTGTGTAGGAAATAGATAGACGGAATCCTAGAAAGTCTCCTTCCATTTATACATATATATCTGTCTATTTACCCACTTACCTAGGGTCTATCCAGTCTCTATTATCTAACTAATATATATATGTATATATTATAGTTGTTTAACTATATATATATGTTTCAGTCTATCCACTTAGCTATATATGTATCTATTAATCATCTATGTAGCTGTAATTTATCTTTGCATCTATTACCTATCTATCATTTATGTATTCATGTATCAACACACACATATCTGTATAGCTCTGTGCAGGGCAGCAAGCCTTTGGCTGAGAGCCCTCCTCAGCAATTATGTGTTGCATGGCATGGCTCTGTGGCACTGAAGGGCATTTATGACCATCGGAAAGGGCAAGGCTACTGCAGTGCCCTTAGGTGAGCTACATGGTCAATTCTCAAACCATAAGGTAAGTCTCTCCTATGTGATTCAAGTCACTGATGACTCTAACAAAGCTCTAGCTACTGGTTTCATGTAGTTGAACCCATAAGGAAAGATAGTCATTTCTAATGGAAGCTTCAGCTCACTTCATGTACATGGAGCCATAAAATCCTGATTTAATAAACAAAAAAGGGTTATCATGTCTAACAACAAATGTATTACCCTAAAACCTATCAACACACCCCAGTGAACTCATGAGGGGGTGAAAAAAAGTCCTCCTTCTTCTGGTAGAGGTGGTAGGTGACTGCCTTATAGACAAAGCATGTACAAAGTAGACTCTCTGCTGTGACGTAGTAGACTCTATGCTGTGACAAGGGGCAGCACATGCTTGTCCCGACCGAGGCTTTTCTTACTTACCTAATGGCAGAGCTGCGGATTGGCCTTTCTGTTGGGCTTCTTTCTCTTGTTCACCTTTCAGGACTGCTACAGCTTCAGCTGTGACTACTTGAACTATCCTTGCAGACACTTCTTCTGCAAATAAACAGGAACAAAAGATCACATAGTGACTAGAAGTCCAACCGGAGAGCTTCAAGAATTGATCCACAGTATTTAAAAAGAACAACTTTAGGATTTGGGAATTCTCAGATGCATTAATTGTTCAAGGCAAGTCTAGCATTTAAAAGTCATCAGTTGAGGATGCTTCTTGCACTCCAGTGTTTTATGGAAAACTGGGAGCAAGAGAGGTAGTACAGACACAGCAGACATTGGGACAACATGATCCTTGTCTTCTAGATCATTCTTGAATCTTCTTATTAGCACTGATGCAACATTTAGTATCCTTCAGCAGCATTTAGCACACCACAGAGGGAACTGTGCTGAGAGATATGTGATTACCTATCTGGTAAACATCCACAGTCCTGGGTGATTTCTTTTGACACCCACACAATTCTTGAGGCCATTCTCACCAAGTTTTGGGCTAGACTGGATACTTAACACAGTTCAATTATTATTTTTTTCTTTGCAAAAGGGTAGAAAACGAATATGAAAGTTTTTGTTCATTTTAGTCACACAAATTAGAAATAAACCACTCTCCACACTATGATTGCCAACTTTAAAAAGGCACAGTTACTTCATATACTTTGTAAGAATTTGACACATTTTGGAAGAGTACCATTTAAACTGCAGTCCTAAGTACTTGAGCATTAATTAACTTTCTATCGTCTACAACATTTTTATATGAGTTGAAGCTCTTTTTATTGAGAAAATATTAATAAAAAGCACAATTATCATTAGCTTACATGACAAAATTATAATTAATCATTGTTACAATATTTCAATCTTTTGTGCAGGACTGCATGTTGGTATCAACCAAAAATTACTTTAATTGTTTATAACATAATAGAACTTGAGACATGCAGAATGGATTCATACAAAATAGACAAAATGACATTGTGGGCATTTTATAAAGGAATTTTAAGACAGTCCAAGTAGAGACAAGGAAGCAGAGAATTGAAGCATGCATGCCCTGGTCCATGTCATCAGATTCACGCTTCACAAACACACTGTAACACATTATCATGTTTCATTGGTGACCAGTAACTTAGTTTCTATTTATTTCAGAAAAGAAATCCTAAGAAATTTGAATTTTTTATTTTTGTTTTGGGGAAAGCTAATTTAGAAATGTACTTTTGATTTCCAATGAACATAACTTATGAATGAGGTGACTTTATTTTTGGACATGTTTAGTATATTTGTCAGAAAATAATTTTAACATGATCTTGGAAGGCTTGTTAAACTTTCATATTTCTTAAAAAATTTATCAGGAGCTGGATATGTAGTTAAGTGATACAGTGTTTGCCTTGTATGCATAAGACTTTGGGTTCAAGTCCCAGCATCCATTTTTGATTTAAAAAATTCTATTTTAAGACTAATCTGATAACATACGAGGAAGCCAAGTTCATATTGGGTTAACTAATGTGTTATGGTTGTTTGGAATAATAAAATTATTAAATCTTTTCAAATAGAAAATTATATGCCTTCTATTCAAAGCTTCACTGTATTTGGAAACATGACCCTGACCAGAAGCTTGGGGGTTTCATATGGTCCAGTGAATTTATAATCTTCCTTGAAAGAGGTAAAGTAATTTATCAACAAGATATTAATGGTAGTTTTCCCTACAAAGCAAGAGATTTTTTTTTATTTCCCCAGCAGAAATGTAATTAGATCTTTCCTGGGTGAATTCTGCATCCCCATTGCCTGGCTCTTGGGATAGGAGCAAATTCACTCAGGGCTTGGGTTAGCTCATGGATAATTAAGAATAAATGTACCAAAGAAACACAAATGATCAAGTATGACAGTCATAGAATCAAACTAATAAAAGTGAAATTATAAAGACTCTTGTCTTATATATATGCTCATTGTTTTCATATATTTAATCATGTATGACATCTTTCATTCATCCTACGTATATCTCTATTGCTTCCATCCATCTGTCCACTCACCCACCCACCCACGAACCATATTTTTACCTTTTTAAGGGGTAACTATCCTTTAAGATAAGTTTTTAAGGAACTATTGAGGTCTTAGTTCAGTGGAGTATGGTTCTGTACTGAAGAATTTCTACCATCTAGTTATTTTATCCTGATAAATTCACTAGAACTCATTGTGCTTCTCACAAAATGGAACAAGTAATAGCCTTTGGTGCATGGGATGATGTGGGATCTCAGCTAGGTAGTTACATAATATGTAACAGACAGCACGCCAAGAATCCTTGATGAAAGAGATGTCCAGATGGTTCTTACCACTTCAATATCTCACTAGCAGCCATGGCAGCATATTCTGAGAGACTAGTCCCACCAGGCTAGCATTATTATGACTATCTCTTGATACCATAACTCATTGTTGTTAATATTTGTGTCTATAATGATGCTCAGAAGAAGTATTTTTCAAAGACAAAGTTTAGAAGGAAGAAAACACTCTTTTTTCTCTTTCTCTTGTTTCTCTTTCTTCCCCCCCCTCTTTCTCTATCTCTTTCTTTCTTTCTAATTTTTGCTCTCAAACTTGGTTGCATAAATCCTGGGGTCCCAACTATTCAGAATGCCTATCATCAAGTCCAACTCTGGACTTTCACCTAGATGGAGCGCCAAGGAGCTAGCTGGCCTGAAAGCTCACTAGAATAATTAGCAGCAGGACATCTCCTGTAGGTAAGAGAGCAAAACACATTTTTTTTCATTGTTTGTTTTATCCACCTTCTCTTTTTCTTTTTCAAATACATACACAATTTATGACTAGAAATTGGCTATTGAGAGGATTAAGAAATGTATTATACATAAATTAATTATCAACATTACACAATTGAAAGGTAATATTGACTACTATAGTTGAAAGTTTAATACTGCTTATTGTAAATAGCTATTTTGAAAACCTCAATCATTTATCTTTGAACTTCAAAACTTTTTGGGAAGTGAAGGTTTTTTTTTTTTTTTTTTTTTTTTTTAGTTTCAGCTATAAATTACATTAGTCAAGGAGTATGTGTGATATTTCTGTTTTCTCTTTTGTGAATGTTAGAATGTTTTATGAAATAACATCAATTTAGCACTGGAGAAGTTACTAGCAGTTGACCAGTTTTTGAATGTTAACCTTATGAGATTCTATTTTATCATAATGTCAACATGACAATGAGTTTCTACAGGCAATGAAAATAGCTTGGCTGTAAAGTCATGTTATAGCCAAGAAAAGTTTGTAAGAAAAACTTATGCAACAAAAAAGAAAACTCAGAAATAACTCAAGTACTTAGAAGGAACATTAAGGATAACGTCTCTGGATCTAATTTATGTCATAGCTTTTTACAAAGTTGGAAAGTTGTTGACTATTGGATAGTATGAGAATACGTGACATAAAGATATAGGATGAGAATCATAGAGACAGGTCATCAGTTAGGAAAATATTTGGAATGCCTCCTTGCTTCAATGCCTGGCACTGGCTACCAGATACTGTGTCAGGCTTTTGTCTCTTACAAAAGGTGTCTCAATTAACCTTGCACCACTGTGCTACCGTACAGCTCAGCACTTACAGCTCCAGGCCCTTGTTGTCCTCCCGCAGACTACCCACACCACACCGTCCCGAGGACCTTATTGTTTCTGTCTTCATCATGGCAGAATTTTAAAGGCAGGCCCAGGATCTGGGCATGATGCAGCTTCATACTATGGTTACTGTGACATTAGCCCACTTAAACCCAATTAATTAATAAAATTGATGGGGCTGACAACCTTTCAACAGCTCTGAAAATTCCAAGCTGCGTCTTGAGTGAAGATGGAGCATTATTGGTAGACCCAGTAAGTGTCGAATGTGCAGCCCGTGGGTCTGGATCAGGACCAGCTGTGCCTCCTTGAACATGCAATGCTTCACCGGTTAGACTGTGAGCACAAAATCCAGGCGAATCGGCATATGCCCGGACACAAATTTTTGTTGATTTCTTGCAGCTTGTTAAAAGTGAACCAAGATGCATTGACAGTAAATTCAACCATATGGCTATAAAAACCACTAAATGTTTCTGCTTTGAAGAGTCGTGGGTACAATAATGGTGTGTTAAAAGAAATGACAAATCAGTCTACCGTACACTTGGTGAAAAAGGAAAACAAAACAATTTAAGACAGAATGCTCCTGTCAAGAAGGTTTTTCTCAGTAGGGTACAAAATGGTTGCCTAGGAGACCAATGTTAATTGCTGCTGCTGCTGGAATCTAGTCAACAAGGAGAGCACTGTGTAGTTCGCAGTGCTCTGCTAAACAAACACCCTCCATAAATTCACGAAGAGAGAAAAAAAAAAAAAAAAACGAAAATTCCTTGCTTCTTGCTTAATTTGGAGAGTAAATGGCTCCTATGAAAGTATTTCCTTGAATCCACTAGTCATGAAAGCATTTAAAGAACAGATTGTTGGAGAGTTTTGTTTGTTTGCTTTCCTAGCATCTTTGCATTAATTAAGGAACCGGGCATTGACACAGCCCACCCTTCAAACCTCTGCTGATGCACAGTGTCACCATGGCAACACTGCAGCCCCCACAGCTATGCTCAACAGCCTTTCTTCTGAATATTTCTTCTAAGATCAAAACAAGGCTCCACCTATTCAAGAGGGCCAGTACATTGTAAGTAGAGTCAACTTATAAAGACAGACATTTAAGAAAAGAGATCAGAGTTGCATAGAGTTCAGTTTTTTGGTTTTTGTTTCCTGGAAGGGGTTTATTTTGTGTCATTCCTGGGAGAGACAAAAATGTTTCTCTCCTGCACACAATTGTTTTTGAAGTCCAAGGTAATCTTACGGAAGGACATGTTTTGTTTGTCTTCACTCTTATGTTCCAATAGTGGCCACAGATTATTGACTGATTCTTCTATGGCCACTCATAAAGCCTCCCTTTTGATAGCCACGTCCAAATCAGTAAGGATTATGGTTATAGGAAGATTTCCTTTTCTCTTTTCAAAAAAAAATTTTAAAATTATATGTATGAAAAAATTTCATGTATGTGTCTATTTCTAC